CACTATGTAGCTCAGGCTGGCCTCAAACTTGCAGTCCACCTGCCTTAGGTTCCCCAGTGCTGGGATTACAGATGTGCAGCTACCACACCTGGCCAAAATAGAGCAGTTCTGTAGTGAGAAGGGAGATCAGTGATTGCCTAGGCCTATGAGCTGGGAAAGATGGGCCGGAGGGAACCTTCCAGGATGGCAGGACAGGCAGGGGTGACTACATGCATTTGTCAGAATCCACCAAACACTGCTCAAAATGGGTACTTTTTTCCTTTCCCTTTTTAAAATTTGTTTTTGTTTTTGTTTTTGTTTGGAGACAGAGTCTCGCTATTATAGACAGCAAGGTTAGATAGAGGTTAACAGGCAGTTCAGAGAGGGACAGAGCCCTTGAAGGGCTCGGTGCGGAAGATGAGATGCATCAAAATTGCGGTGGGGATGAATTGGAGTTGAGCCAGGCCTGAAGGCCTCCCTAGAGACAGACTGAAGCTTGAAATTGTAATCAGCACCACCTGGTCCAGTGGGCCTAGATAAGGTGGCAAACACCCTGACCCATATTCCTATCCCTTCCCTGGACAGCCTTTGATCTTTCTATGTTTGAAACTACAGACAAGCTAAAGTTAATGACACCCACTGTATACTCTCACAGCAGGCCTCGCTTCCCCACTGGATCAATGTTAGCTAAGCTACTATACCTGTAACCCTACAAGTTGACTGTAGCTTCACCTATAGTTACCCACACTGTAATCTTGTATATAAATTACCCCTGGACAAAAAGCCTTAGCAGCAATCCACTTTCAGAGCTCCTCTTGTCTCTCAGGGGCTTTCTCACAACTTTCCCTATTCGTAACCTCTTTGTTCGTGTATCCATTCTTCAGTTATTAAGAGACACAAACTCAGCCAACAGGTTGGGAGTCACTTCCCTGTGACACTGCTATACAGTCAAGCTGGCCTTGAACTCCCTATGTAGCACAGGTTGGCCTTGAGCCTGTGTTCCACCTGCTTCAGCCTTTCATGTACTGGGATTGTACACCTAGCACCCGCTGTGTGTGTGTGTGTGTGTGTGTGTGATTGACACTGAGGTTCAGATACAGAGGTGCTCCACCACTGAGCTCTATCCCCAGCCCTTTTTATCTTTTAAAACAGGGTCTTGCTTAGTTGCTCGGGTTGGCCCAATATGGGGCACCAATTACTGAGGACCCCTGAAATGTTACTGGAAACTTCTGCAGTAGGCTTCAGTCTCCTGCCCAGTGTACGACACAGGCCTAAGGAAAAAAAACTGAAAGACAGAACTAAGAAAGACAGAAAAATTCTAGTGCAACCAACAGAATTGCCGGCCATTCCAAGCCATTGATTTTTATTGGTAATCAACTGGGGGTAAAGGCAAGCTATGTGCAAGGGGAAAACTACGTGCAAGGATGCCTAGTTGTGCTGTTCCTATGGAAACTAATGTAAGCAAGGGCAAGACAAAGCATTCTCAAATTAGAAACAGAATAGACAAAATATATGGTTGTAATTAGAACACTGTCCTTCTAATAAGAAGGTTTTGGTTGTGGGAACAGAATTTGGGTGCAAATCACTCTGACCTTGGCACGGAGACTTCAGCTGACTCATTTGTCAAAACAAGCCAATTGTGGAGTTAACTCTTCACAGCATGCTTTGGGCATAATCAATATTATAGTCTCCCATAGGCCTCCAGTTTGCTGTCCTTTGTCTCAGCCTCCAGAGTAGAGAGATTCCAGGCATAAAAATGGACCCAATAAAAATCATATGTGAATTACAGTGCCACTTAGTTTTATTTAAAAGAAAAATTGCTGAGAGTAATGGTGCATGCCTATAATTCCAGCACTCAGGAGGCTGAGGCAGGAGGATCGCTGTGAGTTTCAGGCCAGCCTGGGCTACATAGTGAATTCAAGGCCAGCCTAAATTACATAGAGAGATCCTGTCTTAAAAGAGAAAAAAATAAAATAAAGGAGGCAGACAAGGTGGATGGTGGCATGGTTCCCATGTGGGGAGGAAGGTGTATGTATCCCCAGGAACTGCTGAGGAGGTGAAACCCCCTGAGTGAGCACTCAGTGCTGGAGTAGCAGCTCCAAGAAGCCCCTTATTTCAGGGGCAGGAAGAATCTGAGGCCTGAGAGAGAACAGCTAAAGGAGGGAGGAGAACAGCAGGAATCACCCCCTCGGATTCTAGGCTGTTGGGGAAGGGAAAGAGGTCTGAGAAGCTGAGCAACAAGGTTCAGGCAATGGGAGATGCCCACCCTGGGGGCCACGGCAGTGTTTTCCGGACTTTCTCACAGAGCTCACTTTACATGGGTCAGGCCGGCCCAGGGCCTCATTCTGGCAGTGTCTGAGGGGCTTGGCATTGGGTGAGTCCCTGGGACACCAGGGCAGGCCCAGTGGCATGGAGGCTAAGGTGCGGTCTCTGTATCCCTGGAACCCTGAGCGGTTAAGGAGACTGCTTGGAGCCTGAGTCCACACCCTGGAGGGCTTGGCCTGGCAGTAGCCCCAGGATGGGCTCTGGCCCCCTCCACACGCCACAAAGCCACTAAATTTAGCCAGGCAGGGGAGGCCATCCTGGGGCTGAGTGCTTGGCAGCAGGGCCTTGTATCCCTACAAGGCCCGGCCCAGAACCCAAGCTGGCGACCCAGTCTTTGGGCTTATAAGGCAGGTCTGGCGGATCTTAAGGGCTGGAGTCTTTGAGTGGGCCCTGGGCCAAGCCCTCAGACTTTGGGGCGCTTCCTCTCAGGCCATCAGCTGATGTGAGAACTACTTGTTCTAGGATCTTGGACCAGGTGCTCAACTTGGAGAGCCTCAGTTTCTGCATCTGTATAATGGGGATTCTAGTACCTACCTCACAGTACCTACCTTACAAAGAAAAACCTGCAAAATTCTAGCACATGAAATTTGGACTTCTGCCCTATACACCTGTGCCCCAGAGAGGCCTCAGTGTCCCTGAGGATGTTGGAGTTGGGGGCCAGGGAGAGAAAGATGCACTTCAGAACCACTGAGGCATTGATAGCAGGCTGGCTTATTCTTGGCAGATTATTAGCAAGAAAAGAAACGTGTCTTTGGTCGCTCTTGGCTCTGCTGATGTCTCCAAATGAGAAGTTCCTCTGGGTCAGTGCCTGGGCTGCTACGGAGACACGTGTGTGCGCTCCAGTCTAGTCTGTCCATCGTCCATCTGTCTTTCTCGCAGTGGAGGGAGGAGAAGGAAGAGGGAAGAAGAGGAAGAAAAGATAAAGAGGAGGAAGAGGAGGAGACCAAAGGGGTGTGAGCAGTACCGACCAGAAGGTCAGTGACTGCTTGCCTGCCTTCCTTTCCTCCTTCCTCATTCAGTGCCAGAATGTGGTGTGGGTGTCAGGGAGAAGCGGGGCTGCAGAGCTGTGCAGGGATGGCTCAGGCAGTCTCCACACACACCCCATCCCAGCACCAGCTGCTGAGTGCTGAGCCTCCTATTTCCCATGGGGTCCGCCGGGAGAGGGGTCAAAATCAGGCCAAGGGAACACGCCACTCGTCATCTGTGGATTTTTCCTTAGAAAAATGCAGGATGGGCAGGGCGAGCTGGAGCGTGGCTATAATCGTACACTCAGGAAGTGCCTATCATCATACACTGAGCCTGGACGATGGCAAGTTCAAGAGCAGCCTGGGCAATTTAATGAAACCATTATCTAAATAAAAGAAGAAGAAAAAAATCAAAAGCTGCAGCACTTGGTTCTCTCTCTGCACTCCTTCAAGGTAGAGTTAGACAGTTGAGCTGGAGAGATCCCTGCTGCTTTGGCCAACAAGTCTATGGGATGTGGCTGATCCAGTCTGAGGGGAGGGGTGGGCCTGAGCCTGGGGTTGGAGTCAGCTGGGCACCTGCTCTCTTCAGGTGGCTCCTGTGCTGTCCAGAAAGCAGCTCTGCTCATAGACAACTAGGGGTGGCTGGGATTCCCAGCCCTGGGCCTGGCTCCCTGCCCAGAGCGATTTCCCAGCTAACAGCCTGCCAGGAAGAAGATTCCTTATCAGCCCACAGGGCGGGACAGCTTGGACTGGGGGTGGGGTGGGGGGGCTGGTAGGGAGGCCCTGCATCAAGCTTGAGCCTTCAGTGCCACCCAAGGGAGGCTTGGGTTCCTCATTTCTCCCCCTTGAACGTCATCTGCAAAGTGAGGGCTGAGGGTGTGGAGGTCTCTAGCTCTGGAACTTAGGGCCCTGGGTTCAGGGTCTAGTTTACTGTTGAGGTGGGCAGAGGCTGCAGAGGGAGGCAGGAGCTGGAGAGGAGCTGGATACCAAACTCAACAATGGCCTCAAGTCTTCTGTCCTTGATGTTACCCCAGGATCTGGACCTATGAGGCAAGTGCCATTAAATTATCCCCTTCCATGAGGAAGCCGGCTCAGGGAGGTAAGGCAAAGTTTCCACTCCTCTCACCCCGCAAGACAAGTAGGAGAGCTGGGGATGGCTAATGTCAGGCTTTTCCAGCTGAATCTTAGGGTCTGCACGGCACTGTGTGATCCCATGGCCCCTTGCCTTACCTGGAAATCTGCTTCCTTTCCCACTCTGGTGGCTGGAAGTAGAAGTGGGGTGGGGTTAGGAGGTGTGGCCGGGGCAGAACAGACAGAGGACCCTGGGGATGGGGATGGAAGGGCCACCCTAAAGTTGCAACTGATGGCTGAGGCCAGGCCTGACTCTGAGGCATGGTGGTCAAGGGCAGTCTATAAGGGTGGGCTGGGCAAGCTCAGGAAGCGGCAGGCCACAGGACCTGAAGCTGCTGTCCCCTGACTTCTTCCCTATTCTCTGCAGCCCCCAGGGCCTAAGCTGCTCATCCTGGAAGCAGAAAGGGTGCCTGATTTAGGGGGATCTCTAGCCTGTGACCAGATCCCCCAGCTCTGTCCTGTCAGGTTCATGGGGAATGGGGACTGACTGATAGCTTTATCTCTACCCTTGTGACTAGTGGTTGGTGGTTTCCGGCCAACAGCCCCGTTTCCGGAGGCCCAGCAGGGCCCAGGCGGAGCCAGGAGGGACAGTGGGGCTGAGCCTGAGGCCTGTGTGGGTCCATCGGCCCCGCCTCTGTCTATCTTTGGGATTTATTTGTCTTGGGCACGGCTGGCCCACAGTTTATTGCCTGCCAGGGGCCCAGAGCTGCTCTGACCACCCCAAGACTCTCCTTCCCAACCCCACTAACTCCAGTTGACCTCTGACTCCTGACTCTGGCCCCACTTGTGCTGCCCGGCTTTCCTTAAGGGGCTAAGAAGCCCCCAGAACCTCCACTGCTTTAGATGTGGGTACTGATACCTTGTTCCCCTTGACAGCAAAGGCCGTGAAGGAGGCTCTATTCTGAGCCCCAATCTGGCCCATCATGGCACGGCGACTGCAGGATGAGCTGGCTGCTTTCTTCTTTGAGTATGACACCCCTCGAATGGTGCTCGTTCGCAACAAGAAGGTGGGCATCATCTTCCGGCTAATCCAGCTCGTGGTTCTGGTCTATGTCATCGGGTGAGTCTGGGCCCCCTCCCTATTGCCTTGTGTATCCCTCCAACCAAGCTCTGGGTGCCCAAAGATACCTCACAACTCCTCTTTCTTTCTACCCATTGGGAGGTCTTCCTGACCAGTCACTGTGCTGAAGGAATATAGAACCTTGCTTACTGTCAAGATGGTTGTACCCAGGCAGGGTGGAAACCCTGTCCACGGCATGTGGTGAACAAGAGACAATGCCACTGTTGGGCTCTGAGGAACCAACTCCGGGTCAATGGTTGCTTCAAAAGTGCTGGGTGGTTTTGCCACCAGGGTCCCTTTGACTTCTGACCTCCTACCAAACCAGCCACTACTGAGATGGCGGTCACCACCCATTTTACAGGCCAGAGATGGACAGTTTCTGCTACCCTCTTCCCTAAGGCAAGGATCTCCTGGGAGCAGCTTTAGTTTCTGGACACCTGGTACTTGAATGGTGGTGTAAAGATGGAAATCAGCTCTGCTTCTGGGGAAGACAGCTCCTTTCTGGGCATCTTTGCACTTTGTTTTGGTTTTGGTTTTGGGGTTTATTTGTTAGTTTTGAGACAGGGTCCTGCCATGCAGTTCAGCCTGGCCTTGAACTCTTGGTGATTCTCCTACTTCAGCCTTCTGAATGCTGGGATTACAGGTATGTGCTACCATGCTCCTGTGCCAGGCGTACGGATTCAGAGCATCTGGCTGGACCCAGATTGTGCCAAGGCCATTTTTGTGAAATCAGTCTGGCTGTCCAGAAGCCAAAGCAGGCCTTCAGGGTTTTGCTCATGTGTGAGTGCTTGTGTGGGCACAAGTGTGCATGTTACGTGGGTACGTGCATGTCCTGCCCAGAGATCTGTATCTGTGCAAACATCCCCAAGGTCTGGGCATGTGCCCAGTGGGTGTGGCTGTCTCCCTGGGGCTGCTGCCCATATGGGTGTGCCCTTGTGTGTGCATAAGTTTGTGTCAGTGTCTGCCTTGTGGTTGAAGCACTCCCTGGGGGCCTGGTGTTTGTTCCCTGAGGGGTACATCGTGTCTGTTCACATCGCCTCTGCTGAGGGCCCCTAGAGGTTCCAGGAAGAAGATTCAATCCTCTCAAGGGCCTGGGGACCCCTGGTAGCCTTAGCCTGGTTTTTGCTGTGTGATTCTGAAGATCTTGCCCCTCTGGCCTCCAAGTCCTTGTTTTTGGTATGTCCCAAACTAGGACTGCTGAATGGAGCCCAAACTGGGCTGACCAGGGGCCTAAACAGAACTTTACCATCTATAACAGTCTTTCCTCTGCCCAGCCCAACTCCCTAAGTTTCAGAGCTGGTCAGGTGGAGCCCAGGCAGAGTCCTCTCTATTGCCTTTTGGCCTCTGCTTCCCTTCTGTTCACAAACGAGTGTGATGTCTATGATGGTAACTGAGGGCAACTGAGGCCCAGAGAAGAGCAGTGGCCACATGGGAAGTTAGCAGCAAAGTCAGGCTTAGGACAGAGGCCACCTGACCCTGGTGTTCTACCTGTTCCTTTCCACCATCACCAGGGCTCTGAAGAACTTTCTACAGGCACAGGATGGACCTAAACGTCCACCATTAGCTTTACTTCTGACCCACTGGAGAAGAGAGGTCATCCCCTGAGCCCCAGCCTGCTCCTCACCTGAAGAGGCTGGGAAATCTCTAAACCCCAAGACCACTCTGTCTTCAGGCTAGTGGCTGTCAGAGTGGAAGACAGTTCACTCCTCTACCTTCTGCCACAGGTTGTGCCCCAAGCTGCCATCCAGTCCCGAACACATACTTCCCTCCTTCCCTAGTTCCCTCCCAAGCCAGTCTGCAGATTCTCCAAATGTATGTGGCCCTTCTCAGAATCAGTTTGGCTCTTAGCAAGATCTGGCAGATGGTAAGAAGCTAGTCAGGATTCAAAGTAGCTGCATGGCTCCAAGGTTAGCTTTGACATCCTGGGAAGGAAGCATCTTCAGGAAGGGGCACTGTTCTGCCCTAGTTGCATAGTGGGTCCCAAAGATAGGATCTTTTGCCCCCAACTCTTACTCCGCTCCAAGCTCCCTCAAGCGCAGCCCGCGCTGGCGGTGGCTCCTGCTGTCTCTGTCGCCCTCCTCTGGCCACTTTCAAGAGCTGCACTGATCCCTCACCTCCACTGCAGTCTTCACCTAGCCTGGATTTGGTCTCAGCAGTTCAGGCCTGAGTTTTCCAACTGTTCCTTCATGAGACAGGGTTTAGAGGGGACAGTTTGCTCTTTACTGTAGAGGGATGTGTTTTGCTTTAAGGACTCTCCTCTTTCTTAGACGTCTGTCTGCTCTCTGGTCCCGTATGCACTGCAGGGACAGTAGGGGGACGCACACTGGAGAAGTGCCTCCGCCAACAAAGCCCATGTAGGGGATGGGCAGACACAGAGATATAGCTGAGCAGAGGAACGGACATGAAGCAAGACTCAGATGAAAGAGGCCCTGAGATTTAGGGATGGCGGGGCCGGGGCAGTAGAGTTTCTGAGCCAGGGGCTGAGGGGCCAAAAACTGGAACAGGTTCCAAAGAGGAAAACTGAGGCTGTGGTCATGCTCCCCCAGTAAGTCCAAGGCAAGCGTAGGGAGCAAGTGGTCCTGCGGCTGCAGAAGGCTGATCCTCTTTTAGCTCAAAATGAGGTAGTCTCTACTATTTCCCAGAGGTGATGAGCTCTCTGTCACTGGGCGTACACAGGCGGTGTGCTGTGTCTGTGACCTAGCAGGCCCACACTAGGAGCATGATGGAAAGTGCTGCTGCCTGGCCAGCTCTGGGTAGGGGAAGAGAAGGATGATCAGGCCGCAGCACACAGGAGGGTCCCTGAGGGGATGTGTGACTGCCAGGAGAGACCGCCTAGGGAGGCTTCCCAGACAGAGTGACACTGGGGGAACCAGCCATGGGTTAAGGCCTGGGGGCCACAGGCTGGGCAGGTCCACTCTCAGCTTTTTCTCTGGCCACTCAGGACTTCTTCTCCTCTCAGTCCTTGTTTGTCCCCTGTACCCCCATGAAGAGGCACCTGTTCTGAGATCTTCAAGTCACCTGCTCTGAGATCACCAGGAAGATCCCAGAGCGGACCAGTCAGTGATAAGCACTCATACATGTTATTGCTGGGAGAAACCATCCAGGTTCTGCAGCAACTTCTCCATGCTGTGCCAGGGATAGAGGTGGGACAGGGCGGGCAGAGGGAGGGCAGGAGCTGAGGAGGAAAAATCACTGTGGGCCTTAAGCCTATCTAGATCCTCCACGACTAGGGCACACACAGCATTATGTTTGATTGGAACTGTCTCCCAAAAGACATATGTATTAAGAAGTAACTGGATCGTGAGGTCACTCGTTAGTGAATTAACCCATTGATGAATTCACAGCTGAATGACCTTTAGGAGGTAGGGTCCACTTTGAGGAAATAGATCTCTAGGAACATGCTTCTGAGAGTGTATCCTGTTCCCATTTCTTTTCTCTTGTCTCCTCTGCATCTTAATCTCTTCTTCTTCCTGGTGGGCAGAAGGTGAGCAGCTGTCTTCCGCCATGCCCTTCTGCTGTGATGTTTCTGCCTTCGAGCCAGGTGACCACGGACTAAAGCCTTCAAAACCATGAGCCGACATTAATCTTTCCTACTCAGAGTTGTATCTGCTGAGAGCTTTGTCCCAGCAATGGACAAGTGGTGAACACACAGGAAGGGCAAAGTCTATAGAGAGACGAGCCATCCAGGTTAGTCCAGCTTTGGTTCTCAGTGCAGCTATCCAGCATCCATCCCCTTTTTATGACTCTGCTTCCCTCTCAGCAGACAGGCTGTTTTCATGCTGGCAAAGAGGTCACCAGCAGTCTGGTACCACCAATTTAGCTTCTCTCCCCACCCTTTTGGCACAAAACACCTCCTTCCTCCAGAATTCCAGCAAAATCCCATGCCCAACACTTACTGGCTGAGTTTGGGTCAAGCGCCCACCCCAGAGCCAGCCAAAAAAACAGAATGCCCTGAGACAGGGTCTCACTATGTAGTCGAGACTGACCTGGAACTCACTATGTAGCCCAGGCTGGTCTGGAACTCACAGCGATCCTCCTGCCTCTGCCTCCCGAGTGCTGGGATTACAGGCGTGACCCTTTTATTTTATTTCCTTTACCATTATTATTTCTTGTGATGCTGAGACTGGAGTACAAGATTGTATGCATGCTGCTGAGCTACCCATCCTTCACTATTTTTTTTAAAAAGTGCTGTTTTGAGTATTCAAGAAATTGTGCAACCACCTCTACTATCTAATTCCTGAACATCTTCACCACACCATAAAGAAACTCTGCAACCCTTCTTTTCCCCTTCTCACAACCTATTTTGCCTATTTGGGGCATTTCATATAAGTAGAATAATGAGAAACACATCTTTCTGTGGCCGGCTTCTTTCACTTTCCATAATGCTGTCAAGGTTTGTCCAGATTGCTTTTGCCTTGTGTCGGTATTTCCTTCCGTTTTAAGGCCGCACCAGACTGTGTTTATCTGTTCCTCTGGGGGTGGACACTTGGGCTGTCCCACTTCTTGGCTCTTATGACCAATGCTGCCCTAAATATGCGTGGACCGATGCTTGTACAGGCATGTGTTTTTGTTTCTCTTGAGTGTATACCTAGGAGCGGGAATATGGGATCGAGTGGAATTCCATGGTTAACTTTTTGAGGAAACATGGGGCTGTTTCCCCAAGGGTCAGGTGTGTGTGAGATACCTATGCAGTGTCCTGGGGAGAGCAGGGGAGATGTGAGTCATCAAGCAGTTGGAGAGGTACACATTTACATAGCCTCCCTGAGACAGGATTTGTGTTTGTTTCGTTCACTTGTATATTTTTGGCATGTAGAAGAGTTCTTGGCACATAATAGGGACTTGATACATAAATGTTTGTTAAATGACTAAATGAATATGTGGGATTGAATCTCAGGAGGAGAGAGCAAATCTGGAGATAGAAGTCTGGGGGATTCAGCATGTCTGTGACAGCTTACACAAGGCTCTGCCTGGGCACAGAATGGAAGCCAGCACGAGAGGGGAATCAGCGAGGGAGCCAGCAACAGGGGAAATAAGGTTTATACTTTTCACGTGCCTACTATATCAGACAATGTGCTAATTTCCATAAAGAGAACTCATAAAAGCCAGGTGCAGTGGGGCACACCTGTAATCCCAGCTGTTCGGGAGGCTGAGGCAGGAGGATCACAAGGTTGAGGTCAGCCTGAACAATTTATCAAGATACTATTTCAAAATAAGAAGGGATGTGGGTGTAGCTCAGGGCTTAGGAATGATAGAGCTCTTACCTAGCATGTCTTTGGCCCTAGATTTGATGTTCAGCAAGAGAGAGAGAGAGAGAGAGAGAGAGAGAGAGAGAAAGTCATAAAAACTTTGCCCAAACAATTACCTAGATATTTGGGGGGCCCAACAGGGAGCCAAGTACATGAACTTGACAGGTATTTGTGGAATAATTAGCACCTTTGAAACAGGTGCCATGACTTCTGTCTTACTGAGAAAATCAAGGCTGTGAGAAGGTTAGTATGCAGGCTGAAGCCACACAGCTGCAGAGACGTTCGGACATGTGTCCTCTTCCACAAGCGGCTGTCAGAGAAGTGGAAAGACTGGGAAAGATTATTACTGGAAGGGAGGGGCTTTGGAAGATGCCACTGTCTTTGACACAAAGACTGTCTGGGTGGCCTCCCCACTGTGGTGACCACAAGGCCGGGCCAACGCATGGCTCTGGAGGAGCAGGCCTGGCGCCACCGCCATTCTAGTATTACCAGAACTGAGGTAATTTGACTTTTCCCTTTTACCCCAGCAGCCCGGGGGCAGACACAGCCTGGAAATGCTGTTCTGGTCCCAGAGCAAGATCTTGGGGCTGGGAACTCCTGGCTCCTGGGAGATACATTGGCACCAGTGCCTCATTAGAGGCAGGAAGAGTCCTGGGTGGGGCCTGCTCCCTGCTTGACCTCTGACTTTTGGGAGGGGCACCCATTCAAGCCTTGGTTTCCCCACCTATGATATGAGAAGTTGGTGCTGGGAATAAAGAGAAACAGCTAGGATGTGGGGATGGGGTTGCCTTGCAGAGGGCAGTGGCTTCTCTTGCAGGGGCTCAGAACATGGAGGTGCAAGAGGCCTACCTGGGGAAAGGAACCTAAGGAGAGTGGGCGTAGGAAATGTCCAGGGCGCTGAGAATCTGATCCTTTGTCTTGTTTACCTGTTTCAGTCTGAGACCTGCAGGGGGCAGCAGTGACCACACTTAGGCTGGTGTACGTGGTGGGGCTGGTTCCAAGACCAGGCGAAGGGAAATTTGGAGAAGAGCAGGTGGACTATGGGAGGAAAAAAGTGGGTATCGTGGGCTGCCCTCCTGGGGAAGGGGACAGCCTCAGAGAGATGGCAGTGGCTGGGATTAAGAGAATTCTAACACCAGAGCTGGGCTCTGGCCAGACAGGAAGGGGGAGTAAGTAAACAGCTTTGAGTTCTGCTTGGCCAGGTGAGCCTGGGGTAAAGGAAGCAACAGGAGAGGGTGTGGAGCACCTATGTAAAGGTGGGCTCAGATTTTCCCTGGAGGTATGCAGCTACACACTCCCATGGGCAACACACACACACACACACACACACACACACACACACGCACATAAGCACCCGAGGGGCTCTTACCCTGAATCCCTGTGAAGAGTCTTTTCTGAAGGGAAGAGGCCCACTCCTAGAGAGAAGTGGTATCCAGGACTCCTTCAGTTATAAACAACAGAAACTTAACCCAAACTGGTTACATAAAGGGAGGGAATGTATTGGCCATGTAACTGAAAAACTCAAGAGGTAGATTTTTTCATGTATGCTTCAGACCTGGCTGCATCCAGGTGTCCAGACTCTCACGGTAGGAGTCCACCCCTCTCATCGCCTAGCTTGGCCTCCATCAAGGCTGGGCTTCATTCTCTGGCTCCCTGTCTCTTTGACGAGGACTAATTATAGTTTTGGCCTTGCAGCTACCCTTTCTAGCCACTCAGGAGATAGAATGTTTCTCTTCCAGCAATTCCCAGAAAAATCCTGCCTTTTGTTGCAATACTGCCCTGGTTATGTCCCATCCTTGGACCCATCACTGCTGCCAGGGGATAAAACATTGACTGGTAACCCTTGGTCGTGTGCCCAAGCCCGGGGAGGAGGGCAACTGGCCTGCTGAATCCCCTAGACTAAAAGTTGGGGACCCAAAGGGACAAGAGTTCTCATTTTGGGAATGGAAGGCAGGAACTCTCCTCCAAAGTTGGGGCCCTCCAGCCTGAGCAGGACAAGATGTTACAAGCCTTTTGGAGAGTCACTTCCCCTCTTTTCTCACCCTGTTCTTCCCCAGCACGGCTGAGATAGTAGTTCTGGCCAATGTCTCTATAGCCCTGGCTTGCAGGCCAGTCTCCACCCTCAGGCTTTTCACACCTTGACTGATTTAAACAAGCATCGAATTCATTATTCTCAGTTTATAGATGAGGCAAGTGAGGACAGAGGGATGGAATGGCTCATCCCAAATCACACAGCAGCTCAGGGGCTGCTCTCTCCCGGGAGGAGCTCAGGGGAGAAGGAGCACTCTGGGAAGGACAATTGGGATCCTAGAGTCTGTCAGCCTCGAAGCTGGCCTGCAGCCCAGCAAATCCTTCTCATGGAAGAAGGTCTGGGCAGGTCTTCACTCTGGGAATTCGTATTCTCATTGTGAAGAGATAGTAGAAGTTCAGGAAGAGGTCAACCAGGGAGTCAGCGAGGCTGTCCAGCTTCCAGTGCAAGATTCAGGAGCTTTGGGAGCAGAGAGTGGCTCAGAGATGCACCTAGGGAGGGCAAGGGGAAAGCCGTGATACCTCCAGTGGGTGCCAGAAAGGGCAGAGGTCCACAGAGCCACCTGTCATATGAATGGCTGGCCCAGAATCATGACGCCTGTGTCCCCCACTCCTGCAGGTGGGTGTTCCTCTATGAGAAGGGCTACCAGACCTCGAGTGGCCTCATCAGCAGCGTGTCAGTGAAGCTCAAGGGTCTGGCCGTGACCCAGCTCCAGGGCTTTGGCCCCCAGGTCTGGGACGTGGCCGACTACGTCTTCCCAGCACAGGTCAGCTGCCTCGGGTGCACTTTCACCCACCTCCCTGGGGTCCTGTCCTCACACTCTCCGCACCTCAGTTTCCCTGTGAGCTTAGGACTAACATTGTCACCATGGCATGATGGGGTGTGGAGGCCACCGGGTGTCAGTAGGGCTCCAGGGGCCCGTGGGAGGTCTCAGGGCTGTTTTTCCAACCTTTCCTCGCTCTTTCCTGCCCCCACTTCCAGGGGGAAAGCTCCTTTGTGGTCATGACCAATTTCATCATGACCCCCCAGCAGGCTCAAGATCACTGTGCAGAGGTGAGTATCCGCCCTAACCCGGACCCTCAAGGGAGAATAACCTGGGAGAGGTGTCACCTTGGGCCCCGGAAATGATGCCAAGCAGGGTTTCCTGCAGGTTCCCATGCTGGAATTCTAAGCATAGATTTGCATGCAGGGATTGCCCACCAGTGACAGTGCCAGCCTTCCTCCTGTGTGCTGAGCTGAATGCCCAGTCTTAGGGTCTCCCCTCTCCCCCACCCTCCTCACTTTGCCTAGCAACAAGGGTGATGGACAACTGGGTGTGAACCCACAGGGCTGGAGACTAAGGGAAGGAGGCTGTGGGGTACTGAGATTCTACCCCACGCTTTCCCTAGGACCCCGGGGTGGGAAGGGCTCTTTTTAGGATGGCGCCCAAGGGACCTGGGGCCAGCATGTCTCCCTTCCCTCAGCACCCAGAGGGGGGTACATGCAAGGACAACAGCAGCTGCATCCCAGGGAAGGCAAAAAGGAAGGCCCAAGGTAAGGCCAACTTCCACTCCTCTTGGCTCCAGGCCCTGTTCCCCTCAGGGCCTCCTGTGCATGTACCTGCCTGCTTCTCAGCTGCCCCACCAGCCTCCACTGGGCAGTCTGTCCAGCTCTCTCCCTCCTGCCACCCTGGCTTGGGTGCCCTGTCCCAGACCCTCCCGTATTCCTATCTGCAGTCTCCTTCTCCTCAGTGCCCCTTTGCTAGGGGTACCGGGGGAGGGACCTAGAGGCCTCCTGTGCACCCCAGCCTGAAGTGGGCGCCCAGGGGTTCCTCCCTCGCTCCAGGCATTCGCACGGGCAAGTGTGTGGCCTTCAATGACACTGTGCAGACCTGTGAGATCTTTGGCTGGTGCCCTGTGGAGGTGGATGACAACATCCCAAGGTAACTAATACCCCGTCCTTCCAGGGAGCTGGGGGCAGGGTCCCCAGCCTAGACACAGGGCTGGCTGGGTCTGGAAAGAATCCATTCTGCTTGCTCTGACTCCTCTCTCACCCCATCTGTGTGGCCCAGGCCAGAGTCGCCCGGCTCTTGGTCAAGGGGCTTCTGAGTCCACTATTGCGGTGCCACATCCTGAAACGTAAGGCTGCAGGAGGCCCTGTGGCCTTCCTCTCCCCACCCCCCTGCCAAGTCCTGGGGGCACACAAGGGGACCTCTGGGGAGGGCAGTGAGTGAGTGTGGTCTTCCTCAGCCCTGCCCTTCTCCGAGAGGCCGAGAACTTCACTCTCTTCATCAAGAACAGCATCAGCTTTCCACGCTTCAAGGTCAACAGGTTCGTGGGAAATGTGGGCAGAAACACAGGCGCTCTAGAGGCCGCTGTAGCTGCTCCCAGCACGCTCTGTCTCCCTCCATTCCAGCGGCTGCTTTCACGCTGGAGACAGAAGCCTGGGCTGGGCCCCTGGGGTGGGCTGCTGGAGGGGCATTCTAGAGGCCACAGCTGGCACACGGCTGGTACTGACACCTTCTGCCCTGTAGGCGCAACCTGGTAGAGGAGGTGAGTGACTCCTACCTGAAGACCTGCCTGTATGACAAGGTCTTACACCCTCTGTGCCCCGTCTTCAACCTTGGCTACGTGGTACAGCAGTCAGGCCAGGACTTCCGCAAGCTGGCTGAAAAGGTAAAGCACGGCGCTAGGCGAAGGGGACTTCATGATGTCCTTTCAGGCCCAGTTAGCCTCCCCGGTGCAGAGCCACCGTGTGTACGGGCCTGTTCCCTTATACTCTGGGCCCCTTGAAATGGCACGCGGAGGGCAGGCAGACCAAGGAAGAGTGGCACTCAGAGGATTGAAGGAAAAGCAGGTTTGCTATGGCTAGTGGGAAGTCATCTTTGAGAGTCTGAGCCCCGTTTCTCAGTTGGTTCTCATGTTTATCTGTTCTTTGGCCAGGGCAGGGAAACAAGCAGGATTTTACAGAAGCAGAACTTGACAAAGGGTAGGGAGGTGGAGGTAATGGTGCTTTTTACTGTTTATCTCTAAGACATAGGGAAGTTGGCAGCTGTGTTTCAGCAGTTCATCTTCTGGGCACTGTGACCTTCGTGGGTTTGGCAGGAGAGGCAAGCCTTAGACGGTCAGCCTTGAGACCGCCAGTCTCTGCCAAGATTTGAATCTGTCAGTCTCTGCTCTGTTTTTTGTTTTTTCCATTTCATCCTGAGGATCAGGCCTGTGTCCCCAGCAGGGGCTGGCCTGGACCTAGCACAGAGGAGGTGCCTGGAATGAATGAATGTGAGCAGACATTGTCAACTGGATGCTTGGCGGTGTCCTGCTACTTTTTATTTTATGGAACCCAGGGCCTCTTGCATGCTAGGCAAGCATTCCACCACTAAACTACACAGCCAGACTTTTCTGTTTTGAGACAGGATCCTGCTAAGTTGCCAAGGCTGGGCTCAAATCTGCAATCTTCCTTCCTCAGCCGCTGAAGTAGCTGGGGTCACAGGTGCATGCCACCAGACCTGGCCCAGACCTACTCTTTAATCCAACAAATATTTGTATGCCCCCTGTCCGTTACTTGTATTAAGAAGAGTCAGTGACAAATACCCAAACAGCTCCATCCTCCTGGGCTTTACAGTCTCAAAGATGGATTGATAGATAATCACCCCAAATAAGCAACTAATCACATAGTAACAAAAGTTCCAAAAGTGTACACATGAGGGAATAACAAAGGACATATTTTAGTTTGAAGTGGTAGTCAGGCAAGCTCTTCCAGGGGAAATGGTCAAAGGATGAGAAGGAGCCAATCTTAGGGAAAACAAGGAGTAGCATTTGCAAAGGCCCTGAGGTAAGGAGAACTTGGTGTATTTCGGAAATGGTCAGAAATCTGGAATGTGGTGGGTAGGAGGTGAGACCACAGAGGATGACAGGACTTCTACCCCAAAGCAACATCTCAATGTCTTTTCTCAGAGTAAAAAATGTTCCCTCTTTGACAGAGAGCAGGCATTAGTTCTAAGATAGGCATTTCTTGGTCCCCAAATCCCAGATCTTAAACATCTGTGTCCCTGGCAGGGTGGGGTGGTCGGCATCACCATCGACTGGAATTGTGACCTGGACTGGCATGTGCGACACTGCAAACCCATCTATGAGTTCCATGGGCTGTACGAAGAGACAAACGTGTCTCGAGGCTTCAACTTCAGGTGGATACCAGAGCCCCACTGAACCCTTCCTTGGAGTCCTGCTGGGCTGAGTGTGTCCCCTAAGGGGAACAGCGGACCCTAAGGATCTCCCATCTGCCTGGATGGCCCAGAAGGGAGCAAGACCTCGGGGGCCTGAGTTCTCTGCCCTCTGTCTCAGTCCCCTCAAGGCCCAACTGGCCAGGAGGGCAGAGGAAATGGCTGACAGCGGGTGTCAGGGAAGGGTTGAGTGTGATATTCTCAGACTGAGGCTTGCAAGTCCCCTCTGGGGAGTGTTGGGGTGACTTGGACTTCTAAAGTGTACTGCGTGCCTGAGGCTCTGATACCCGAGACAGCCCGCTATCAACCTCTTCTGTACCTCACCCCTTACCCAAGGTTTGCCAGGCACTTTGTGGAAAATGGGACCAACCACCGTCACCTCTTCAAGGTGTTTGGGATTCGCTTTGACATCATGGTAGATGGCAAGGTGAGTTCCTGGTGGTGGTGGTGGGGGGTGGCAGCTAAGACATAGTCTTTCATCTGGGGGTCTACAGTGATGATGACAGAAGTCAGGTAGGGTGTGGTCCATTCAGCAAGTCTACTTCTAGTGACAGATGGGCCATGGGTGATGTCCAGGGTGAAGCTTTGCAGCCAGTGACTATGATTCCTTTACAAATTCCCTGGGCCCAGGAGGGAAAACCAAGGTGAAAACCTAGGTCTGCTAACCAGGAGCTGGTTCCCCATGGAGAGTCACAGCCCTGGGCAACAGGCAGTGGGTGAAGTTCACAACCTAAGAGAAAGGGGTGGGAATCTCCCTCGTCCCAGGCCTGGCCTTTTCCAGCCAGGCCCCTTCTGATTGTTAACCCTTCTCTCCACTGGACCCTGCTACTAGGCTGGGAAATTTGACATCATCCCCACAATGACCACCATTGGCTCTGGGATTGGCATCTTCGGGGTGGTAAGTGCTGGGGACACCAGGTCACTCTGCTGGGGTGGGCCCTCCTCATCCACATCTTAGTGGTACCAAGCCCCTCATCCCAAAACTTGACGGCAATTGTCCATCGTTCCCGAGCTGCCAGCTGCACACCCTACCACCCTATATACCAGTGTATCTGAGGAAACTGAGGCTGAGAGCTGGAACAAGCTAGAGCTGGGACGGGACTACCTTGGTCCCCTGAGGATCTTACAGTGCCTCACCACCCACTTCAAAAGCTGAGGTCTGGAGTCACAGGATTCAGGCAGGGCCACACAGTCAGTAGGGCCTGTGGTAGGAGGTGAAAGGTTCTATATATACCCTTCCAAATTTGCACGCTCCATCCCTGCCCCTCCTTGCCCCAGGCCACTGTTCTCTGTGACCTGTTGCTGCTCTACATCCTGCCAAAGAGGCACTACTACAAGCAGAAGAAGTTCAAGTACGCAGAGGACATGGGGCCGGGGCCGGTAAGAGAACTCCTTCAGGCCCAGCCCTTCAAAGCGCTGAGACTCACATGCCTATGCTGGGTGTTGGGGGTAGGGGATCATGGTTTCCCGGGTCTGACTTGTATCCCCCCATGCACACACAGGAGGAGCGTGATCCTGCCACTACCAGCTCCACCCTGGGCCTGCAGGAGAACATGAGGACCTCCTGATCGTGGCCGCTGACTTCTGACTGAATGCAGCACAAGGCTTCAGACTGGGGCCCTAGTGGGTCCCAGCCATGGAGTGGGTCTCTTCAGGGAGCCTCTCGCCCCCTCAGCCAGGCAGATTCCAGTTTGCCCACAGCTCAGGGTGGGCGCTAGGAGGGACTGGTACAATTCTGGGTTCTGGCTCCAATTCTGCATTCCACCGGAGAGCCCAACAATAAGCCACTCCTGGTCCCGAAGGCCCAGGCACTCACACACCTGTACCCTATCTTTGTGCTTATTACCTGGGGTCTTCAGTATCCACCCCACTGCCTCAGTTTCTCTAGATCTGTGCTCTCCAACACAACAGCCACTAGTCACGGGGGGCTATTTAAATAGATTAAAATGGAATAAAATTTTTTAAATTCCTCAGCTGAACTAGCCACATTTCAACTGCTCAGTAGACACACATGGCCAGTGGCTGATGTGTTGGACACCACAGGATGTTTTCATCATCACAGAAGGCTTGGATAGGTCTGCTTGCACCTTGTTTCTGCCCAGCCGTAGATATTCAGGCCCCCGGAATATCTGAACCTGAAATTGCCAAGCCAGCCACATGACTGGCATGGAAAGCAAATGCCAGGCCATTTTGGGACTGTGGTCCAAGAACTGCTGTCCTAAAAGTGGCTGACTCAGAGCTCTTGACAGAGTGTCTGACTTAGCCCTGGGCAAGCACCGCCATGGCAGGGGCGGCCATCGAACAAGGGTTCCATACCTTGGCTAGTGTGTAGTGTGTTCATGCGCCACACAGTGATTCACACACACTCCCCAACGTGCACCCCCCCACCGCCCTCCAGCCATGCCGTGTTTGAACAGCTTGGGCCTGCAAACACAGCCATATGAGCACACCTACACCCCAAGCAGAGACACATGGTCCATGCTGTGTCTCCCCAACGGGGAAGTGCTTCTTCCCTAGCATGTCAGGCCAGGACAGCCCTTCTAGTCATGAATCCTTTCTCAGCTACCTCGGGCTGGGATGCGAGCCTGAGCCGAGTCCTAGCTCTGTGCCTGTGGCCCAGCCCCAGCTTCCAGGCCTGCCTGGCTCTGTTGGAACAGAAGGGCTGGGAAAAGTGAAGGTGGAGTCCAATAAACAGGATGGGGATGGGCTTCTGCCTTCCTTGCTTTCTTTCCAGACCTCTCAGAAGTTCAGTGTGCCCATCTGTGAAAGGCAGGGTGGAGCTAAGTAATGCCGAGGTCCTTCTCCAACTGTGATACGTAGTGGTGAGCTGACTTGTATGCTCTGGACCCAGCAGGGTCTGTACATGGGCCGCTGCCCTGGCCCAGCCCTGGATGGTGTACTCTTCCCTCTCCTCCACAAGCCCCTCCTCTGGGCCTGGAAGGTCTCAACCCCAGAAGCGTCCTCATGAAATGAGTGAGGAAGAGGCTGGCTGTCCTAAGAGTGAGATCCGAAGGATCTCAAAGAAGGAAGGAAGGAGATTAGTCAGCTTTTTATCACTGTGACAAAATATCTGAAAGAGACAATTTAAAGGAGGAGGGGCTTCCTTTGGTGCACAGCTTTACAAGTTTCAGTTCATGGTCAGCTCTCTTCAAGTCAGAAACATCTTGGGGGCAGAACATGGCAAAGGGAAGCTTCTCACCTTATGGCAACTGGGAAGCAGGGAAGGGAAGGAGCCAGAGAGGAAGGGCTGGGGAACAGTATAGTTCTGAAGGTCAATCTCCTATGACCACTCCTCTCGACTGGGCCCTACCTCTCCATAGGCCGTTCAGTTGTGGACTCGTCAATAGATTAATCCATTTGTGAAATTAGCACTCTTCTGATCCAACCACCTCTGAACACTGCTAACTGGGGATCAGGCCCTCGGTAGACGAGTCTTTGGGCGCCCCTTCCTATTTGAACCATAACAGAGGAGTTGACTGGAGATACCATGGCCATGATCTCCAGATCTGGATTTACAGCCACACAGGGTTTCCACCATAATCCTTCTAGACCAACAAAATTTCCCACAACAATGGAAATGCTCCCGGTCTCTGCTGCTCAGTGAGGTTGCCGCTAGCCTCAGGTGGCCACAAAGCACCTGAAATATAGCCAGTGCAACGGTGGAGCCATTTTCACTTTATTTCATTTTAATTCATTTAAGTAACCTTGTATGGATAGTGGCTATTGGATTGGGCAGCCCAGGATGATGTCTCCCCCTTCCCTTGGACCCTTGGCCCTCTGCCCTCTTCCCTGGCCAAGCGCGATGGCTCAGATTTTACAAGACATGAGCTCCCTCTTCTGCCTCCCTTCCTCCTCCACACCCACCTGCTGTGTACCTCCTGTCCCCTTCCCTTCTGAATGGCAGAGGAGGGCTTCTCTGTGTCCAACCCTTCTGCCCAGCCGCCTCCTCTCTCCTGCCCCTATTTGATCCTCTCCTCTGCCTCTGGCTGTGCAACCCCCCACCCACCCAGTGCCTACTCTTTCTTCACGGCCACCCTTCCAGAAAGACCAGTTCACACTTCCCTTCCAACTGGCCTCCACCCCCACTGCTTCTAGATGTCTCTGCCAAGGTCACAAGCAGTGTTCCTGTTGCCAAATCTGAACGGGAACTTCTGCCTACAACCTGCTTGGCCTGTCAGCATCCGACCCTGTGGCCCAAGCCCTCCATGTTCTGATTCCTTCCACCAGCTCTGAGGCCCTGCCCTCTCCTGGTTGCCCAGCCAGTCTGGTATGCAGGGAAAAGAGGCCTCACAGCAGCTTGGCCACCGTGCCCCATACGGCCTTGGGTGAGTTGCTTCACTCTGCAAGTCTCAGTGAGTCAGCGATAATGACAGCTTCTGCCAGGATTGCAGTAAGATATCTGTAAAGTGCACAGAGCCTGGCACACAGGGAGTAGTATCCAGGCCCTCAATTTACCCACCCATTCAATGGTGGAGCCAGCCAGTGTCCCGGTCATGCATTCTCCCTATGGTGATAAAACTCTCGCTTCTTGGTTGGGCAAGTGGCTATCTAGAATGGAAGTTGCATTTCCTGTTCTGCTTCTTGCAACTGGGTCTGATCATGTGCCTAAGTTCAAACTAATGGGATATCCTGGGAAAGCATCATGTGATACCTACTGGGAATTTTCCTTAAAAGAGAATTGGCGCAGATCCCTTGCCTTTTCCTTTATCTTTTTTGAGACATCACTCCCTGGAATGCACATGTGATGGCTGGAGCTCTAGTCTCTATTCTGAACCACGAGCACAAGAGCCACACCTAGTGGTTGCTAAAGCAAAGCAGAAGGAAACATATCTTTGTGGGGGCCTCTGTGGAGCCAAGCCCTCATACCAGCTGAGGACCATCTTCTCTGAGGCTTATCTGTGAAATTTGTTACTGAGGTCAGAATTTGATCCTACTCAGCACCAAATTTTTTCCCCTTTTAAGTGTTTTGTCCTTGGCCCTTGTATTTGCTCTGCGTGATCCTTTTCCATGCCTCTATTTACAATTATGGGTCCTTTCTGAGAACATGAAAAACTGTCTCTTTGGGACTGGGGAAGTAGTTCACTGGCAGGGCTCTTACCTAGCACATGTGAGGCCCTGGGTTTGATTCCCAACATTGCAAAAAACCAAAACCGAAACCAAAAAGTGTATCTTTGCCCAGCCCTTTTTTTAGCACCTATGAAACAAGTCAGGCTCGACCTCTGCCCTCAAGAAGTTTCTAGTCTAGATGGGGAACAGGCAGGTACAAAGAAGTCCCTAGGGAGGGTGGCTAAACTCTTTGAAGCAGTGAGGAGGTCCTGGGGAAGGTTTCCAGGCCGAAGGGCACTGAACTGAGTCTAGAAAGGCAGCAGGAGTTGGGCAGGCAGCGGTAATGGGTAAGGCTCGCGGGGCTTGCCTGGATGCATTCCTGGGGTAGCAAGCCACGGAAGATTCCCAAGCAGAGCTGACTGTGCACTCGAGTTTCGGAAAGGCTGGTGGGAAGGGAGGCCGCAGGGGGTGAGAAGCAGCACCCCCTGCTGCAGCAATGGGGCCTGGTGGGGTGGCCTGAGCTAAGGGCGGGGGGAGGGGTGGAGAGGAGTGGACAGATTCCAGGGATTTGCGCAGGGGCTGGTCCTTAGACTGGTTGGAGCAGGAAACATGGGGGATGCAGGTGACGCCCAGGTTTCTGGTTCCAGTTTGAGATAGAGACACGGGAGGCCAGGTTTGGGACAGTGCTGCGGGGATTCCCCACAGACAAAGTTAGCCGAACCGAACCACGAGGTGAGCTCACCAGGGGAGAGGCAAGGGTAGGGTCGCCAGACACAGCTGATGCAAAGGTCTTCGTCTTGGGTTCCTTCCATTTCCTGTGCCCTAGCCAGGTGTTTTCTGCCACCTGCTCTGATCCCATCCCCAAATATGAATAGCACTCTGAGTCTAACACTCTGCTAAATTATCCTCCTGGCTTCCCTGCCGCCCACGGGGCCTGCCATTCAAGCCCCGCAAAGCCCCGCACCCCCAACCATCCCTGGCCCTGGCCTTGGCCTGGTCTCTGTGATGCATCACGCCTCGCCCTTCCCTAGCGAGCACCAAGCCTCTCCCCGGGAGAGGGTGCTCTTGCCCTTGCAGGTCGGGAAGGGTGAACTAAAGATTTTAGGGGAAACATCCATACCCTTCAGCCTAGCTAAGCGTCCACAACGCCGCCTAAAGGCGCACCCCCAACCATCCCTGGCCCTGGCCTTGGCCTGGTCTCTGTGATGCATCACGCCTCGCCCTTCCCTAGCGAGCACCAAGCCTCTCCCCGGGAGAGGGTGCTCTTGCCCTTGCAGGTCGGGAAGGGTGAACTAAAGATTTTAGGGGAAACATCCATACCCTTCAGCCTAGCTAAGCGTCCACAACGCCGCCTAAAGGGGTTCGGGGACTCTGGCAGCCCGTCAGAAGGCGCTGGAGGGCGTGGCGAGATCCAGCCCCGCCTCTGGGCTCCTCCCTAGGCACCACCCGCCGCGGCCCCTCCCTTCCAGAAGTGGGCGGGAGTCCGGGCTCTGATTGGACCGCTCTGGGGGCGGCCGGACCAATGAGCGCAGACCTGAACGATGGTCTGCTCTAAGCCTCCTGGGGAGAGGGGTGGTCTGCGAGGCCGGGTCTAGGAGGGCAGCCGAGGGAGGGATCTCCTGTCAGGGATCCTCTCACTCCGACTGCGGGACCAGGTGGTTTGCGCTGTGTCTTCTGGAGTCGGCCCGCGCCCCGCCATCTGCGTCCCTTCCTCAGCTCTGGTCTGCCGGGCCGCGTCCAAAGCCGGCACATCATCCGCCCTGTCCCAGCCCTCGGTGGAGGCCGTGTCTGCAGAGTGGGCCCAGAGGGTGCACCCACGTGTGGCTCTATGCTGAGCGCCCTAGCGTGAGTCTGGCTTGCAGAGCTGGGGGCGGGGTAGTGAATGGGACGGATGCGGCGTGCGGCTTTAGCTGCGCAGTCTTCCCCCGGCTGGGACGGGGAGGGGGCGGCGCGGGAGGGCGCTGCGGCTTCAGGGGCCTGGCGGGCTGGGGACTGGCAGCTCGGTACGTGCACACGTGCTCGGGAAGCTATGTGTGGTGTTGGAAGGCGGGTGTGCATGTGTCACGTGGACACAGGAGTGTGCCTGTGTATGTGTGCGAGGGGGGTGCATTTCAGGATGGAGTGGTGTGTGGGGACCGGTCACGCGGACACAGGCGTGCGCCTGACTGGGGAGGAGTGTGTGCACGTCTTGGGGGTGTTGCTGGAGTGCTCAGGAAGGTTGTGTCACAGGCTACAGGTTCCAGGACTGCCTTGATGGGTGCCCGCAAGGCTGAGCATCCTGCAGGAGGATTTGGGAGTATCTGAGAAGCAGAGGGCTTGTGTCCTTGATCCCAGGGAGGAGGCCGTGGTCTCCCCCACAGCCTTGTGCATACAAATTGAACATCTATTTGTCAGACTGTCCGAGACCTACACATTTTGGGGACACTCTGCTTGCTCCTTGGTCTCCCACCCTGGTCTCCACGGGAGCCAGAGTCATTTTAGACCTCACCCAAATGAGTCACTCCCCTTTTCAAAATCCTCTGGTTTGGGAGGCCTTCTGGTCTCTGTCCACAAAGCCCTGCTCCACTTGAAAACCAAGCCCAGGATCTCAAACAGGGCTCCTTCATGCTCAGTGTGAACTCCTAGCCTCTTCTCTCCTGAAATCCTACGCAGTGGGCAAAAAGAGCTTCAATGTCACCTCCTCCAGGAAGCTTTCTTTAGTTGGGCTTGGTGGCAACACACCTCTAATCCCAACACTCAGGAGGATAACAAGTTTGAGACCAGCCTGGGCCACTTAGTGAGATCCTATCTGAAAAAAAAAAAAAAAATTAAAAAGGGCTGGAACTGGAACTCAGTGCAAAGGGTCTGGATTCAATTTCAGTATAGGAAACAAACACACACAAAAATCAAAGCTGCCCCAGAGGCCAACACAGGGACTGAAACTTCTCTTGAGATTTAAACCCTCTTACCATCTGGTGCCTCTCTCCACTCCAGTTACATCAGCCTCCTTGCTGTTCCTCAAACAGAGCAAGCCTAATCCTACTCATGATGCTTGCACTGGCTGGCCCCTCTGCCTGAAATGCCCTTCCCTAACTCCACACTGCTTGCTGTCTTCTTTCTGATATCTGCTCAAATCCTGCACCTGAAAGGCCTTCCTGAACCACACCGAGTCATTCTCATCCCCCAATCCATTATTCTTGACCTGTTAAAGCTGAGGCTTTCTTCACAATACATATCACTTACCAGATGTATGCTAGTTATTGCATACCAAGTGTATGCTTGCTGCCCATATTAGAAAATAAGCTGTGTGAACAGGCACTTTGTCTTTTTGGTTAACTCCTTTGTTTCCTGGAATCTCGCACAGTGCTTGGAAAAGAGCAGATGCTCAATGAATAGTTGTTGCCTGAATGAATGACTTGATTTGCATCCCAGGAGTCTGTGTCCCTGACTGTTCTCCAGCCTGTGAGGCCTCAGTCTAAGGCTAGGGTCTCCTCTAGATTTCAAGTTCTGGAAAGCCAGGACTGGGAGAGCTGTGACTATATTTGCATGTTAGAAATTCTCTCCACTGGTGTGGAGGATGAGGTAGGGTGTGAGTGAACAGGGAGACCCAAGTTCTACAAGCAATGCAAGGACACTAGAGGTCAGAATCTGCACTTTTTAGGGGCTTCGACTTGGTGAGCTCACCCAGTGCCCAGTGGGAAGATCAGAGAGGGCTTTTAGAGGAGGTGACACCTGAGCTGTCCTCTGTGAAGGAGAGGGAGGTGTGTTCTTGGCAGAGAACACAGCTTGTACAAAGGCTTGGCAGCAGAACAGAGTCTGCAGTTTGGGAAGCTTCAAGTGGTGCAGTGGAGTGGAGTGAAGGAGCAAGGATGGGTGAGGGGGAGAGCATCCCTCTGGATTTCTGGTTTGGATCTGGTAAGAGCAGGGAGGAGGATGGCCCCACCTCTGCAATGGAGACAGAGGAGGAAAAGCAGGTTTGGGGAAAGATGATGAGTTGAATTGGAACCCTGTTGGAGTTGAGCTGCCCAGGAATATGGAGGAGGAGGGGGGGGGCGGCGGAGGAGGCTGTTAGCTAGAAAGAGTTGGACTGGAGGTGCAGACCTGGGGTGGAGGTAAGGAGGGGCAGAGGTGCAGGATGATCCCTGGCGCTTCCATGGGTGGCCCAAAGGATGCACTGACAGTAGCCGTTTTGAGGCAGGCACAGCGCCCAGCTTGGTGCTTGGGGGCTCCCCAGAGACAGTTGAAGAGGGCGTGCTCATAGCAAGCATCCTTGAGCATGACTTGGCACCAGACTCCTGGGCCTCCCTTGAGGGGACTGAGTCATCCCAGCGTTGGCGGGAGCTTTGGAAGGCACCAGATACTTGTCAGGAGTATAAACAGGGGTACAGAGAGACAGATGTCCCAGGGATGTCAGGACCATCTTCGGCACCTGACCTGGGTGGCCATCTCCCCTCCCTACCTTGAAGCTTTCTCTTCTGGCCAGTCTTCTGCCTGGACAGTAGTGTGTTCCCTGCCTTGGCCTGGCACTGGAGTTCACAGCATTCCTCCAGAACTTAGAACTTAGAATGAGGCCTGATTGATGCTTGAAGTCATCCGAGGCAGGGCTGCTTAAACTAGTGTGGATGACAGCAGGGTCTGCCTGCTGTCTTGCTTTAGATTTCCCCTTTAAGGGACCCAGCTAGATGGGGCACGTCCTGAGGAGGAGGCCAGACCAAGCAGCAGCTGAAGGCAGGAGCTTGCACACTTGGGAACAGCCAAGGGTGCGTGCCTGGCCATTCCCCAGCAGATGTGTGTGTGGTTGTGCTTTGCATATCTGGGCTCTCTCAGTGGCTTTTAGATGTAAATACATCCTATCCACACATCACTCAAGCATAAACTGCTTCTATGTCCACGACCTCATCTAATTCCTTCCATAGCCTGTAGTATAGGCAAGGTGGTGGCTGTCTGCCTGATTCACATCTGAGGAAACTGAGGCTCCAGTGCCTTGTCTTAGACACCACAACCCAGGCTGGGAGGGCAGGACCTGAGCTTTGCTCAGGGAGGCAGGGCCTGAGTCTGTCCATTCCTGCTCTCAGCACCTAGGAGGTTCCCCATGCTTGGGGGTTGGGTTCTAGCCTGTCATCCATCTTTCTGTGACCCCTGGTTACCTGCTGAGTCAGTTCCTATGAAGCTGCAACCTGAAGGGATCCCCTGGGTGAGCCCCTGGGGAGGAGGGGGCTCTGCCTAGGACACACAGGCCAGCCTACAGGCTGTGGGACAGGTGAAGGTGGAAAGTCAGGAGCTCCCCATCCCTGTCCATCCTGGGGCACACACCTCCTTTAGGAGCTCGCCTCCTCTTGGCCACACTGAGAGCTGTTGACCTCTGTGCAGAGGTGCTCGGTGTGGACCCACGGCACATGCAGACAGCCTACCCAGTCCACAGCGCTGCTCCAGCACTTGCTGTCACACTCAGACATGGGCTCAAACATGCAAGACCTCCAGCGCCCGGCCCTGTCGCCTGGACACACGGCAGGAACTTGGGCCTTCCCTGCCAGGCCATCTCCCTCTCTGCGTGCTTAGTCACCTGAATTTGATCCAGGCGGGAGGGAGGGATGGATGGATGGAGGGCCTGACGTCAGCCTTCACAGCCGCCTCCCGCTTCCCTCTGCCGCCTGCACATCCATCTGGGCCCCAGTTTGTCCCAGGCAATCATAACAACTCACTTCTATGGAGCTTCCTTCCTGGCAAGCCCTTTCCGAGTCCCTCCTTTACTCCCCCCCACCCCACCTAGGGAGACCCTCTATTGGTCCCATCTCCCAGATGAGAAAATCTAAGGTGCAGCTGCCTGCCCCCTGATTTACAGCCAGGGAAGGGGGCAGCCTGGCAGCCTGGCTTCAGAGCCTGAGTACAAACCAGGAAACAGGGCCCAGTCTGGATCTGAAAGGCTTCTATACCCCCTTGCTGTGCCCTGTCCCTGCTGAGCTTCCCTTTCCCCATCCCAGTAAAGGGGTAAAGGGAGCTAAAGGAGGGGGTGCCTTGTGGGGAGAACAATTGCAGGGGAATCGTATGCAAATCTTACGGGTCAGGGCATCCTGTGGCTTCTGCCTGTGGTGGTCCTCAGTCCCTAAGTCCCTTTCTGGGACCACAGGCAGGAGCTTCTGACTCTGTGCTCCATCCCTGAGGCTTGTTGGGGTTCCCTTGCTGAGGCTGATTTCCTGTCTGTGTAATGGGAACAGGGCTGCAATGATCACTATGGCAACCACTCATTTATTCAACAAATATTTATCAAGCACTGATTATATGCCAGGCACTGATGGAGACAGCAGGATCTTGTGGAGACAAGGCAGACAGGAGCCCTAATCTCGTGGGGCTTACGTTCTGGTGGAGAGGCCAGGCCTGAGGAGTTCAGGGGGCCAGTACAGTGATCGCTCACAGGGCCTCGAGGCTCTTCTCAGCCTTGGCCCCCTCTTTCCTACAAGCGGCCTGGTTTCTACAGCCTCCCTCCAGCTCCAGCTCCACCCACTGCTCCCCTCCCCTCCTCCAGGGAGGCCTCCTTGATACTCGAGCCTTACTGAGCCTCCCCTCCCTCCAGGGTGCTCCATCCTTGCATCCCTGCCACTCCTCTAGGTGAGGCCTCCATGTCTTTTGCATTTGCCAGTATGTATCTTCTTCCCTCTTCCTTTCTGCACATCAGCATCAGTTCGGCTACTTGCAAGCTATCACATCCTCACCCGAGCCTGCCTACAAGCCCTGCTGTGGGCTTAGAAACTCTGGAAGGGCACAGCATCCACAGTGCAGATGGGGAGACTGGGGATCAGAGTGGGAAAGGAGCTGGCTCTGTGCCCTGCAGTAGGTTGGCAGTCAGGACTGGAACCTAGCCCCAGATCCTCCATATTGGTGGACTCCAGCCAGCCCCACCTCCTCGACATCTGTTACAGCAAGGGGACAGGGTGGGGTGGGGGGATCTAGGATGACACCCATGAGACCTGTAGTCTCCAAGTCACTGTGTGGAGACACAGGAAGTTACTAACAGTCCGGAAGGGAAGAAGGTCAGGAGTCCACTTGCTTCCATTTCTTGAGAAGATGAGGGATCCAGCCCAGGAAGGAGGGGACATTGGGTTGAGTGTGGTCAGCTTGCATCCTGGGGGGAATAGGTCCCAGTGAGAGTCAGCTCAGACTGGATCAGGGTGTGACCCTGGGTCACAGCCAGAGTGAGGGGTAGGGCTCAAGCTGGGGCTACACTTGGCCTGAGCCCTGGTTTGGGCTCAGATGTAAGGTTTTGTCCTTTGCAGGAAGCATCCAGAGGGAGATTTCCGACTCCCTGGGGTTCTTGATGGATGGTCCAGGGTGAGTGGGAGATCAGAACAGGGGAACATCTCGGCCTAAGTAGGTGTGACAAATATTTTGGCCTCTTGAACACACTGGAATGAAAACCCAGGAGAAATAAGGAATGACCTTTAAGTGACAGCCACCGACGGGACAGCCTCCTCCCCTAATGGATCCTTTCCTGGTCTGGAGGCTCTGCTGGGCCAGGGAAAGGGGAACCAGTCTCGCTCAGTGGTCCTGGAGGTGAGAGAGGCTGGAGCCCCAGGGACATCTTCCCAGATGTATGAGAGGAATGGGGGTGGGCGAGGTGGCTAGGCCTGCAGGCCCGGCGGTCTCTGGGTTACCATTGGCCAGCCCAGCCTCCAGAAGGCAGTCCTGGATCCTCTGCCATCAGAGCTGGGACTGGGAGTCACTGGGCCTGTGTCCCATGGGCGAGGCTGAGCTGAGCCTGGACTCTGTCTCCATGCTGCTTGGCCTCCAGTCTTCTGCAATGCCTGTCTGTCCTGATTTCCCAATACCAGATACACTGCTTCCCTGGGAAGTCAGCATGGCAGAAGTGACTGCCTGTTTTGCAGGTGGGGATGCTGAGGGCTGGAGGGCTGGTGTGCAGCAGAGCCAGATGAGGTCCTGGAATTCACTCAGTGGGGACAGACCTGAGTTCGGGTGCGGGCAACCCAGGAAGAGGGAATAGTGAACACAGGAATGGAGGTGGGGCCCATGGGGCTATGGCCAGCCACAGTGGGATAAGGGCCTTGGTCCCACCCCCTTGCCCCTGGCCAGTGTGATATCCAAGAGTGAAGCCTTCTCTGTTTTCTCTTAGGTGCCCAGCAAGACTACATAGACTAGGACCCCTGTGTCTGGGGCGATGGAGGGGGGCCCGGCCATCTGCTGCCAGGATCCACGAGCAGAGCTGGTAGAACGGGTGGCAGCCATCGACGTGGCCCATTTGGAAGAGGCAGACACAGGCCCTGAGCCTGCCAGAAACGGTGTGGACCTTCTGCCACGGGCCAGGGCTGCCTCTGTGATTCCCAGCAGTGTGTCAAGACCCCCGCCGGCACGGCCCAGCCTCTCGACTAGGAAGTTCTCCCTGCAGGAGCGGCCAACAGGAAGCTGTCTGGGGGCCCAGGCTGGGCCTTATGCCACAGGGCCAGCCAGCCACATCTCCCCCCGGGCCTGGCGGAGGCCCACCATCGAGTCCCACCATGTGGCCATCTCAGATGCAGAGGTTGGTGGGGCACAGTTAGGGGTTGCTCATAAGCCCTCTAGTAGGCCTCCAGGAAGGCCTCTGTCTGCCCCCATCTGTGCCACATAGTTACCTATCCTTGCTTTACACACCCTCAGAGCTGGAGAGCTCACTTCCTAACACCATCACCTCTTCCCATCCAGGGAAGTTTCAGGTGAGCCAAAAGTTGCCTTCTGTGATTCCTGCCATCATACCCTCACCCCCAGCCCACCCCAGGCCTAGGAAATAGGTCTCTCCCTTGTTCCCTGAAATGTCCTCTTAGAGATTTGAAAATAAATGATGTACACCCTAGGCCCTAGTCTTCCCAGCTTGAAGCCTCCCTCGTCCCACCTCTAGTCCTGCCTCTGAGTCTGCGATTCAGAAACTGCCCATGAGCCTTCAGCTTCTGTGGTTCTGCGGCCCCTGACCTTGCCACTCAGATCTGATCTTTTGTTTTAAATCGCTTCTTTGAGATTTATTCATTTTCCCCTGATTGTCCCCCATGTATGCACAAAATATATTTGTTAATAAACTTTTGTTTCAGATCTGATCTTGAACTTGGGTACTGAAAGGCCTACAGATGTTGAAGGCTGAACTCTGTTTAAACCAGAGCCCAGTCTTCTCTCCCAAGCCTCCCTTATCTTTTTGGCTCCAGCACTCCGGCCCATCTCGTTCCTCTGTGGCTGGAAATCCCTGCTCTTGGGTTTTTCACACACTGTGGTCTCCTAGACCCCACTGTCCTAGCAGGAATTAGTGTATTTTTCCTTTACCACTTGGGGAGCAAAGCATAGCCAGGGCTTCACCATTCATGTTTCACACAAGGCCTCTCGCAGTTATGGTGGCAGTAGCACCACCAAGCTTTCCCATCTAAACAGGAAGGAGAGGAGAGCTAGGGGCCTGGGGCCAGGCTCAGACCCGGAATAAGCTCCTGACTTGGGAGCAGTGTCACCTCTGGGTTAAGCTGTACCTGATTCCTCCTCTTTCTCCCAGGACTGTGTGCAGCTGAACCAGTACAAGCTGCAGAGTGAGATTGGCAAGGTAGGACTGGGGCAGGTCAGGAGCAGTGGGGGGCTCAGAGTTCTCCTCTTGACATTCTTTGTCTCTGAGGGTGGGAATGGGAAGGCAGAGGCAGGAATATCCTACCATAAATGTGAGGAAAGGCTTGTCCTCTGGAGGAAGCACCCAGGGGAAGGTTAGAAGATGACTCTTGATTCCAGACTCCCAAGGGTTCTTTTTGTTTTGTTTTGAGACAGAGTTTCACTATGTAGTTTGGGCTGGCCTTGAACTCATCATGTATCCCAAGCTAGCCTCCAACTTGCATTGATCCTCCTGCCTCTGCCTCCTGAGTGCTGAGATTACAGGCATTCACCACCACGCCTGGCTTCCCTAGGGTTCTTATTGGATGGCCAAGAGGGACAGAGGAAAGCGTGGGCCCTGTGCTCATCCTGGTAGGAGGAGTTCCCAGGGCACAGGAGACCCTTTCACGCCTGTAGGAAGTGTGTGCCCACGAGCCAGCTGGGGGTGGGGATGGGGATGGATGCAAGAGCAAGGATAGCGCTGTCTCGAGCTGGTCCTCGGGGAGGGTGTCCTGTCCTATGAGGCTGACTGGAGCTTATCTGCAGGGTGCCTATGGTGTGGTGAGACTGGCCTACAACGAGAGCGAAGACAGACACTATGTGAGTCTGGGGGAGGAGGGAGGCATTGCCAGGCTGGGACCTAGATGCCTAGGGAGCAGGAGAGAAGTGCTTGGAGGCCAGGGGACAGGGTGCTTCTTAAAGGAGTGAGCACCTTGTCTCTAGGGATATGCAAAGGGAACGAGCTGCTTGACCCTTGGGATATGCAAGCAGAGGCTGGCTTCCTCTGAGGCAGAGATCCAGAAAGTCTGGATCTTCCCTGGAGCAACTAAGGGAAGGCAGAAGCCACCTTCTAGCCCAGCCTGACACATACTTGGGCCACACCTTCAGTGCCAAAGGCAGATGGCCTGTGTGCCTTTCTGGAACTCAGTCCACATGTAACCAGCCTGTTCTGGCCCCCAGTGGCTGCACACAAGTGACATTTCTCTCCCTGTCTCCTTAGGCAATGAAAGTTCTTTCCAAAAAGAAGTTACTGAAGCAGTATGGTTTTCCACGTATGTACTTATCTGTCCTGTCTCTGGGAGCTCCTGGTCTGGGAAAAGAGGTCCCTGGCTACTTTGGGGCTACAGGGGAGTCAGGATGAGCCAAGGCCTGGAATGGAATGTGCTTGGTGGCTTGGGACAGGATCGTGGTCTTGCAAGAGTTGTGCTTGAGGCTGGCTGCAGGGCCACCGGGAGGCCAGCTGTGGAATGGGGCCTTGAATCTTTTTCTTGACCCCAGGTCGCCCTCCCCCAAGAGGATCACAGGCTGCCCAAGGAGGGCCAGCCAAGCAACTGTTGCCCCTGGAGCGGGTATACCAGGAGATTGCCATCCTGAAAAAGCTGGACCATGTGAATGTGGTCAAACTGATTGAGGTAGGAGGGAGTAGCGAGCAGGTGACACCCAGCATACTCTGCAGCTGCACAGACACAGCTGAGGCCCCAGTTCTGCCTGGGCAGAGGGGAAAAGGGCTGGGTGGGCAGGATTGGGTCAGTGATTGCGGAGGCCCCATCTGTCCAGCACCTGTTCCATGTCAGGTGGCTACTGAACATCCTGGGGTCCTGGGGCTGGCAAGGATAAGGAGGCCTGGGCCCCTCACTCTGTGCCTTCTCAAGCCTCACCTCACATCTGCTCGCTCTGACCAGGTCCTGGATGACCCCGCTGAGGACAATCTGTATTTGGGTGAGTGACCCAGCTCATTCCCACAACAGCTCACATAGGGTGGTCCCAAGGACTCCCTTGGGATGTGCATGAACTTCAGGTGCTGTGTGATTGACTGCACTGACCTCTTGGGAGTAGAGAGGGGAAGCCCTGGGTTCCCTTGTCCAGCCCCGCCAGACTAGGCCCAGAAGAATCAGTAATAGTCAACAAATATTTCTAGGCCCCCACTCCCTGCTCCCCACTGATTGGCAAGACAGTGGGCCAGTCTGGGTTCTGCACTCAGGTGGATGCAGGAAACAGGCTTTGTGGGTTTTTGGACCTAGTTTGGTAGTGTTGTGCCTCAGTTTCCTTATCTATTAAATGGGATAATAGGATTAGGGCTGTAGCTCAGTAGGTAAAGCATTTGCCCAGCTTGTGCCCTGGGTTCCATCTCCTGCACCACAAGATAGATAGACAGATGGATAGATAGACAGACAGACAGACAATATAAAATTCCTGCTGTCTTTTTTTTTTTTCTTTTTTTGGTACCAGGAATCGAACTAGGGTCCTTGTGCTTGTGAAGCAGGCACCAGAACCACTGAGCTAAATCCCCAGACAATATAAAATGGATAACAATGGCATTTACCTCATAGGGTTAATACCAGGAGGAAATGAACTACTGCATGCAGAACACATTAGTTTTTTATCCTTGTTAATATTATTTAACTTCCTCATGCCTGATGTAGGCCGGGGAACAGAGGAGGCGAAAGGGTCAGGAGAACCACCTTAGGAGTTAGAGGCTTATGTCTCTACTTTGTGCCCTGCCTGCCTGTGATGACCTTTAGGAAAACTGCCTGCATGCCTGCCCCCTCCTGTGTGCCCTCAGAGCAGGGAGCTACCATTGGGTGCTTTGCCAGCCTTGTATACACCTTACCTTCTTTTTTCTTTTTTCTCCATTTCTTTCAGTGTTTGACCTCCTGAGAAAGGGGTGAGTTTCTTGTCCTGTTCAGGCAGGTCAATTCTAATCCAGGTCCCCTTTTCCTTCCCTGTGTTCCCCAGCTCAAGGGTCAGCTACTGTAGGAGGAATCAGAGATCTATGCCCTACCTCAGGAGCTCTAGTCTTGCGGGTGGAGATCAAGAGCCCCATCCTTTGAAGGCTTTTGGGGGTTACTGAGGCTGGAGCAGTCACTTAGGCCTGGTGTGTATGTAGGGTGATTTGAATGATACAGGCCTTGAAGAATGGGATGATTTGGGGGCTGAGAATTTAGCTCAGTGGTGCTGTTGTGTGCCTTGCAAGCGTAAGGTCCTGAGTTTGATCCCCGGTACCAAAAAAAAAAAAAAGAAAGAAAGAAAAAATGGTAAGATTTGGATGGAAGAGAGGGGAAGGGAAGGAATGTTCTTCATGCAAAAGTGTAAGGCAGGACTCCATTTCTTTGGGGTAGGGTGGGGAGGGGAGTTGAGACAGGATTTCACTATGTAGTTCAGGCTGACCTTGAACTCCCTATATAACCCAGTCTGGGCTTGAACTCACAGCGCTACTCGCGGCTCAGCCTCCCTCTTGAGTTGCTGAGATTACAGGTGTGTGCCACCACACATAGGACTCCATTCTTACCTGTATTCAAATCATAAAGGGTTCTTTCAGCTTTACAACAAACTTGTGAAGCAAGTGGGTGGGACTCCTTCCGTGCCTGTTTGTGAGAGGGAAAGCCAAGGATTAGAGGGTGAATGGCTTGCCCAAGGCTGCACAGTAAGTCATTGATGGAGCTTACAATCTAGCCACTGATGGAGCCTAGGGTTCTAACATATCTGCTCTGTTGAGTTTTCAGTGTATTTGCTGGGCAGCTGACACAGAGTCGTGGGCATGGGACTGGTGGACAGGGACCCTCACTGCCAAAGCCTTGAACGCAGGACCTGCTCTGTTGAGTTTTCAGTGTATTTGCTGGGCAGCTGACACACAGAGTCGTGGGCATGGGACTGGTGGACAGGGACCCTCACTGCCAAAGCCTTGAACGCAGGCTGTGGCATGGCTCTCTGCTTAGGGGCTTTCCTAAAGACAAATGTGGAGAGGAAGTGGAATCTCTTTAAGACTCAAGGGCTTTCAAAAAAATTTTTTTTTTGGTACTGAGGATCGAACTCAGTACCTCGCATTTGCGAGGCAGCCAGTGTGGCACCACTGAGCTAAATCCCTGGCCCCTTTCAAATGTTTTTACCTCCATTCAAAACGAGAAACATCTTTAGGGTGCTATCTATATCTTTAACTTTATAATGCTATCTACATCTTTAACCAGAGTTTTAAGGAATATTATTTACATGTAATACATTGTACTGCATTAGGAAAAAGAAAATAAAAACAATTTCCACCCACTAAGTTGATTTTATGACCCTCTATTGGATCTAGGCCCACAGTTTGAAAAGCTCTGCAATACGTGGCATCTGTGTAATTATTTGATTATCGATAATGCAGTACTTAGAAGAAATCCAAGCCAACTGAAGTTAAGATAAAGCTGATTTGGAATTATGATTAAAAATGTGTGTCAGCGTCTACGAGTGAGAAGCAGCGAATGCCTAGGGTTCTTGGGATCTGTGCGAGCCCAGGGCTCCCTGCAGTTCCCAGGACCTGCGTGGACACTCCGTGTTTGCGTCCCACTTCCCCTGCAGCCCCCTTTGCTCCTTCCGATTTTCATCTGATTCAGGCTGAACACCGCCCCCACCTCCTTCCCATAGGCCGGTCATGGAAGTGCCCTGCGACAAGCCCTTTCCTGAGGAGCAAGCTCGCCTCTACCTTCGGGACGTCATCCTGGGCCTCGAGTACTGTGAGTGAGCGGCTGCCTGACCCCTGGGACTGAGGCTAGGGGATCTGGAGCCTGCCCAGCCTGTCAGCCCTGAGCCGTTTCTGTCAATCAACACTGCTTTGCCAATCAGCTTTAGTGGAGGCGGGACATGAATCTCTGGGCGGGGCCTGTGCCGAGCTCACCGGGCATGCGCCAGGTCCTCCACTGTGTGCTTTGGGTGTTCCATCGCTGTCTTTAACTGTTTTCCACAAGGCCTCAAGAGATGTGTAGCAGCTTGGAAAGGAGCTGGGGACCATGCGTGGTGGCAGGGTGGGTTCAGATGTGAGGGGCCCTGAGGTGATGAGAGTTCAGGAGGGAGGATGTTAGCTCAGCCTCTGTCTGGAATTCATTTATTTTCGTTTCATTTATTCATGGTCCCTACTAAGTGCTGGCCAGAGATGTCAAAGCCCCAGGCCTGACCCCAAGAATCTCACACTCCTTGGGGACAGGAACTCAAGCAGGCAGATGATACACCTTAGGGTGGTGCCTGCCAAGGCTGGGAAAGCACAGGGTTCTGGAAGACCAGGGTTCTGAAGGATGAGTAGGAGTTCACTGGCCAGGTTTTGGGGTGATGAGAGTAGAGAGTGTTCCAGGCAGAGGCAGAAACGGGAGGGGCTGTATTGTTTGAGGATGGGAAGTTAATCTGGACGAAGCACGGAGGGGATGTGGAGGAGGTGGTTAGTGGACAACGATGTTAAAATTTGGGCAGGGAATTCCTCCACAGAGGACCTTTAGCACCTCACCCTGTCACTGTTGTGTGGCCCTGAGGGCTCTGAGTGGGCAGGGGTGGAATCGGATTTGTGTCTTAGAAAGCTCTGTCTGGCAGCTGTTGGTGGTTAGATCCAAGAGTGAGAGTTGGTCAGTTGGCCAGGGAGGAAGCTGTTTCTACAGCCAAAGTGACAGATGGCGGGGCTGGGCTTAGGGCAGTGGCAATGGGGAGGGGTGTGGAGGAGGCAGCAGCCAGCACAGGGTGACTGGTCTAGGGAGACCAGGGCCCTCGGACACTTGGGGCTGTGCCCTGGGTTAGGGACCGGGGGTGCTGCCCATCTCTCTAAAATTTTAGGCTGGCTTGTTAGGAATATATTCTCTGGGTGGGGGCGGGGGACCTAGCTGAGCTGTGACCTGACGTGACGGGAACAGGGCTGCCTTTATCTTTCTTGAGCTTCTCTAATACTGTCAGATTAATATTGTCTTTGAACATTTGGGAAAACAGAGTCACAGAGAGGAAGGCTTTTGTGGAGAATCCCTAGCAGGGATGAGGAGGGTTAGGATGGGAAGGGGTATTTCTCTGGAAGAATGGTCAGTGGCAGGCACAATCCTAGGCAAGCGTGGCTCTACCCTCTTCCTATCCTGGGCTCTTTTCCGTAGAACAGGGCCTGTTGTCTACCCTTCCCTATCTCCCCCCAAGCGTACTGATCTCATCTAGTTCCTGACCAGATGAGGATAGGGCCCCTGGCCCAGGAGCACTGGCTCTGCCCTCAGCGGCCTCCCCTCAGCTCCTGTGCAGCCTTGTCCTTCAGGGGACAGACCTACCTGGAGAGTGCCAGGACTGCAGACATCCCAGGAAGGTGGGGACGACAGCTGGCAGCCCCCTAGGCACAAAGAGAAGAGCAGACACAAAACTCAGCACTGGAAGGGGCAGGACACCCTGCTAGTAAGGCCTGGCCAGGGCGACACTGGCCTCGTGTGACAGCCACCATGGGGCAAGGCTGAGGGAGGAAGCTTCATTAGGACCCAGCTGATTACAGTGAAGCCTCCTGGAGGGGAAGGTTGACGGCAGGGGCTGGACACATGGATGACCAGCAGCCCTGGAGCCCTGAAGACAGGTCTTGTGATTGTGGTCCCTAAGAAGGGACAGTTGGGGTTGCCTGGGAGTGCTCTGTGGTCAGAGAGGGCCAAGTCCAAGTCTCAGCAGATGGGCAGGTGCAGCAGTTTGGATGATGAGACATTAGTGGGGTCAGAAATCTGCTTTGTACTTGGGGCCAGCTGAAGAGGTCTGAGTGGAGAAGGAGTTGAGGAATGGCCCCAAGGTTGGGCAACTGGTAATATGATTTTAACAGTCTAGGAAAGAGGAGATTTTGTTTGCTTTTGTTGGTTGTGGGGATTGCAGGTAGAGAAATAAGACGTGTTGTGATACACTGATATTTATCTGTCCATCCATCTTGATGTCTGTTGGACATCCAAATGGTGGAAGAGCCTGGGGCAAGGCTAGGGTTTGAGATAAGAATTTGGGTATGCAGCTAAGCTGGGTATGCAGCTTAGTTGTAGAGTACTTGCCTGCCGTGCATGAGGCCCTACGTTTGATCCCCAGCACTGCAAAGAATTTGAGACTACTTTCCGTGGCCAAACATCCAGCTCCCTGGTCTTGATGGAAATGTCAGATTTCCTTGTGTGCACCTGGCACGTAGTGGGCAGTTAGTAAAGGGCAATGCTTTTGTGGTTATTGGTGTGTGGCACTCACTTCCTTAGACCCGCCTTCCTCTCCGCTGTTCCCTTCCCCTGTCTTCCCTCCCTTTCTGTTTTCCCCTGTCCAGTATCCCGGGGTTTGTGGGTCTAGGAGGAGGAAGTTGCTGAGGAAGGAGCCCATGGGTGGATGGCTGTGGGGTGGGTGACTGCTCAACTGGGACATCTCTGGTCATCTCAGTTTGAGCCACCTATCCTGTCCTGGCAGGGCTGGACCTAGGAGGCAGAAGGCAGAGACACTGTCTCCACCATCAAATCCTTTAGTCTTAGGAGCAAGGATATTTTTGACCAGGCTGGGCAGGAAATGGAACTGGGAAAAGGTTTGGATGGGCTTTGGGCTGCAGATGGCGCTCATGTGGGAAGGGAAGACGTGGCCTAGGGAGAATCCTCTCCCCCAGTTTCCTCTGCCTTCTGCTCTCAGCAGCAGGTGCCTTGTTTGCCATGGAGAGAGCAACTGGACTTGGAATCCCAAGATACCTAAGATTCTATCCTGGCTTGCTGCTAACAGCCTACATACACTGAGCCTCAGTGTCTTCACTGTGTTGAGCACATGATCCTGATGTTCTCTTCTAAGGCCCTCATGAGACAAGAGTGTGTGTGGACTAGGATGTGCCAGCAGGCTTCCCTGGCTCAGCGAGGGCAGGCGAGGGGTCCTGGGCAGCGGTCCTCAGACCGGTGCCCCAGCTGCCTCTCTCTGCAGTGCACTGCCAGAAGATCATCCACAGGGACATCAAGCCATCTAACCTGCTCCTGGGGGATGATGGGCACGTGAAGATCGCCGACTTTGGCGTCAGCAACCAGTTTGAGGGGAACGACGCTCAGCTGTCCAGCACGGCGGGGACCCCGGCATTCATGGCCCCTGAGGCCATTTCTGATTCTGGCCAGAGCTTCAGTGGGAAGGTGACTCCCAGGGCTTGGGCAGGTGGGAACAGAACATCTTGCAGCAGGGACCATTTTCAAGCAGAGGATGCCAGGTTCTTGCATGTAGGGTGTGATGTCCAGGAGCCTGACATGCTCCCTAACCTTGGCCTCCTCTCGTTTTCCAACAAAACCTCGCACACCTCCTCTGCAGATATTCACTGCGTCTGATCTTGTGTCTGGTTCTGGGCTGGGCTTATGGAACAAGCAGAGTCAAAAGAGTCCTTTTCCCCCACCTCTCTGCCTGGTGGAAAGGGCAGGAGCTCATGGTCAGGGAAGGTGAAGGCTTCTTCTGATCTTCGATGTGGCAGGGTCTGAACAGGGTTGAAGAATGGGGAGGATTTGAGCCAGAGGTGGAACCCAGAGGATATGCAAGAGGACAGAGGGGCATGGTGCTTAGAGGGCTGGAAGTCTGGACTTTTTTGTAGTGACAGGGGCAGTAGGAAAAGCTTTCTGAGTAAGGGTTACCATGGCCACTGTGTCCCCTGCGGTATATGCCTGCTCTCACTGTCACAGAGGGCAGGGCCAGAAGGCATTTGGATGTGGGTAGGGGCCTAGCGCTCAGAGGGCAGGGCACTTTTTAAAAAAATATATTTATTTATTTTTCATTTTTAAATATTTTGGTACGGCGGATCAAACTCAGAACCTTGTATTTGGGAGGGAGGCACAGTCCCACCGAGTTAAATCCCCAGCCCTTAAAACTGTTTATTTTGGGTCAGGGATATAGCCCAGTGAAAGAGCATTGTCTAGCTTGTGTGGAAACCTGAGTTTGAGACCCAGAACTGCAAAACAACAGAAAATCAAAAATAACTTTTTATTTTGATGTAATTCTAAGTTTACAGAAAAGCTGTAAAAATAATACAAAGAAATATTGTGTAACTTTTGAGGTCAGGGATTTAGCTCAGTAATGCACAAGGTCCTGAGTTCGATCCCCTGTACCAAAAAAAAAAGGAAGAAAGACCATGTAACTTCTTACCCAGATTCACCAATTATAGACATTTTGTCTCATTTGTGTTTATGTGTGTGTGTGTGTGTGTGTGTGTGTTTATGTCACATTTTTCTGAGCCATTCAAGAGTGAAGTTGGACATCTGTGTCCCTTTATCACTCCATACTTCAGTGGCTATTTCCTAGGAACAAGGACGTTGTTCTCTCACACAACCTTAGTATAACGATCAGAATTGGGAGAGTTACCATTGGTAAGGTGGTTATATAATGTATATGTTTAAATTGTTATAACTGATATTTAAATTTTGTCCATTTTCTCAATATTGTCCTTTGTAACTTTTTCCGATTCTGGAGGCAATCCAGGGCCGCGGGCCACATTCACCAGTCGTGTCTCTTTGGTGTCCTCTGATTTGGAAGAGTTCTTTCGCTTTTCTTTGCCATTTCTGACCTTGACAGTTTTGAAGAGAACAAGGCTGTTATTTGTGGAACGCGTCAGTTTGCATTTGTGTTCGCTGATTGGGTTTCAGCGATGTGTCCATCGGCAGCAGGAGTGTGTAGGCGGAGATCTGAGGGGCGCTCACATTAGAGAGGAAGTGGATACTGGAGGGGGAGGGGGGACAGCAGGGGGTCCAGGAAGAGAGAGCTCACGGGAGAATCCAGGGCAGGGAAAGCCGGATCAGAGCAGGGAGGGGTTGGCATGTGGCACTCGCTCCCACCTTGTCCTATACCAGTGCAGGGGAGTGGGGTGGCTGGAGCCTTGCTGGGGGAAGGAGATGGGTGTCGGAAAGGTGGGGGTCATGGTTTCTCCAGGGGATGAGCAGTAGAAGGTGCCATCCCTTGAAGCCAGAGCTGGTTTGGTGAGTGTGAGTTCAATATATATTGTCATTTCTGGGCTGCATCTTGAGGCAGCAAGTGTGACCCCTGTGGATGAAGGAGGCTTTCCACCTGTTGAATTGGACACATCTGGTTTTGACTCGTCCCAAGGAGACTTGAGACCCCTGGAGGGCAGTGGCTCTGTTGTGGTCACTGGGTCATCCCAGCGCTTAGCAGAGTCCAGTATGGAGCAAGCGCTGTGGAGGTTTGTGGAGTGGATACAGGACTGGGGAAGGAGGATCTCTGCAGAACCTCTCCCACCTCAAGCTGGGTATGCAGTGGGCAGTGGGGCCTCCCGGGGGACTGATGGGAACATGTTCCTTTCTAGGCCCTGGACGTGTGGGCCACAGGAGTCACGCTGTACTGTTTTGTCTATGGGAAGGTGAGTGCTGGGGTGAGGTGGGGAGGTGGCACAGAGCTGGTGCGAGCCCAGATGGCTGGCACCATGGGCTGGGCACAGTGAGCCAGGCGTGGGGGACTGATGCAGGCCCTTCTTTTGTTTGTGCCTTTAAATAAAGTAACTTTTGAAGGAGGCCACCTGGGGCCGGGGATTTAGCTCAGTGGCACTGTGCCTGCCTTGCAAGCGTAAGGTCCTGAGCTTGATCCCTGGTACCAAAAAAAAAAAAGAAAGAAAAACTGAAAGAGGTCACCTGGCTCAGAGGAGGCTGAAGACGAGGTTTTCCTCCATTTTCTCTCACGTCCTTGGAAGGGATTGATGTGAGGGGTCCCAGGACAGCAGGCGGTTCAGGCGGAGGTGTCGGTGGTACCACCTCTCTGACGAGACTGCTCCCTGTCCTTCTCTCCCTTGACACCACTCATTCATTCACCCACATTTCAGTCCGTCACTTACGCATTTAACAAATTGTCCTTCCTTCCTGCTTTGGGTCAGACTGGGCCTTGGGGACATCTGGCACTGACGTGACTAAGATGCTCTCCACAGGGGCTTCTGCACTACTGACCACCAAGGAGCAGGAGGCATCTCGGGGACCACTTTCCCCCATGCCAGGCCCTGGGAGTGGAGGCCTTGCTGCGGGTGGCTCTGATGGGTGGTACCAGTGGGGACAGCAGCCTCATAGTTCCCTCAGCCACTCTGGGGGGCACCATATCCCCTGCTCCTGGATCAGGGCCCTGAGCCTGCATCTTTTGTTCACCTCTCCCCCACAGTGCCCGTTCATCGATGATTACATCCTGGCCCTGCACAGGAAGATCAAGAATGAGGCTGTGGTGTTTCCTGAGGAGTGAGTTATCCCCTCAGGGACCAAGGGGGCTCACATCCACTCCCAGGAAGGGGTGGGTGGCAGAGCTTGGCAGAGCTTCTACCCTTTGAAGACCCCTCTGTACTGCAGATCTGGAGGTGGGGGTGTTGTTCTGTGGGAGGGGTGCTGAGCAGGTGGAGGGAAGGATCTGTGAAGCTGAGGGTCTCCAGGACATGAAGATTGGCTCTTCTTGTACAGATGGGACCACTGAGGCAGAGATGATCCCATTGACACCACTCCTTTGTTGCAGGCCAGCATGGGGTTGGCAGCACCCATCCCATAGAGCCCCTGGGCCCAAGGGGGACTTCTGCTTTCCCCATGTTGGAAGAGGGTCTTTGAGATGCCAGTGTCCCTCCCATTTCATGGATGACAGAGTGGAAGTGCTGGAGGACAGTTGCTAGCGGGGCTGGGATCTGGAGCCACTGTCTTCTCTCTGAGCCTCCCGTTGTGACTGAAGGCTTTGAGCTCAGGAGGGCTGTCTGGGAGGCCTCCGTCCGTGACTGTCTCTGGTTCTTCCAATTATGGTCTTGGCTGCTGTGGCTCTTCCTTTTCAGGGCCCTCCTACCATCTGCTCAAGTGGCTGGGGCAGGACAGAAACTGAATCAGGTTGTCCTCCATGACTCTTGCCATTTTATTTTATTTTTGGTGGTACTGGGATTGAACCCAGAATATTTGCACTGGACCGCTTTTCTAGCTCTGTTTATTTTGAGGCAGGGTCTTGTTAAATCATGAAGTTGCCCAGGCTAGACTTAAACTAGCCACACTTTTGCCTCAGCCTTCCAGAATTCTGGGATTACAGGCAGGTGCCACCACTCTGCAGACTCCTGCTGTTTTGCACCTGCTTCCTGTCTGATGCCCAAGCCCTGTGGAGTCTATCTTTTACCTTTCTTACACCCATGCCTCCTGCCTCAGGCAGGCCTAGGCCTCCCCAGACTTGTGCAGCCTTTTCCTCTCTAGCCTCCCTCCTGCAGCCAATACAATCAGGCCAGGGTGACCCTGATAAAGCACAACAGATCCTACCCTGTTTCCTGCTTAAGGTTTGTCTGAGGCTTTCCAAAGCTTTCAGGACAGAGTCTCTGGCCATGGCATTCAAGGGCCTCCAGATTCTGCTACCCGCTCTTCTCCCACATCACTCTCCTCCACCTGAGCATTAGCCTATGGGATTTGGTTCATTTCCTATTTTTCCTTTAATTTGGGGGCTTCTTGCCTTCTTCCTGCTGCCCCTCCCCAGGATAACCTCCTCTCTAGCCCAGGAGTTTTCAAAGAGATTAAGTATCTGAGACAGCAGAAGGAACTCACTCAACATTCCCAAGAGTGGGTGGGCTCCTCCTCCCCAGCTTTGGACAGATGAGAGACCTAAGAATGTTGGTAGCCAACAAGGCTGGAGTTTAAGCGAGGATGGTCCCAGTTGCTGTGGATCTATAAGTGCTCTTGCTCCCGAGTCTCCTGTCCCTGTCCCACACTCTTCAGAGTGGCAAGGTACCAACCTTCCAACCTCCCTGGACCTCCGAGCTCTTTCCTGGCCACCTGCCAGGTAGGGGAAAGGATATGATAGTGAGTGGGAGTGAAGGCTACAAAGTAGTTCTTCTCATGTGACGGTCATTATCCTGCCACCCAGGGCAGGTCCAGCCTCTGTGGAACTCTGTTTGTAGCCTCTGCCCCAAGGGAGACTATTTTACTCCCACTCGGGAAGGGAGATCCATGTGCTTGTCCTGAAACTCTTGCCTCTGGCCCGGTCCCTTGGGGTCTTCTTGCTCTTCCCACATGGGGACTGAGGGTTGGGTATGTCCGTGATCGGGGTGTGGTGGGGGTGAGGTGGGTTAGAAGGTGGCCCTCAGCATCCGCCTCATCCTCCACTCTCTCCTTCTCATCTTCAGGCCAGAGGTTAGTGAGGAGCTCAAGGACCTAATCCTGAAGATGCTAGACAAGGATCCCGAAACAAGAATTGGGGTGTCAGACATCAAGGTGGGGGAACAAGGTCTTGGGCTGGGTTGGGCTGGGGCGTAGAAAACAGGCCTCAGTTTCCCTTTCTGGAGAGACCTGTGCCAGGACACCTGTGTGTTGTGTTTGGGTTTTGGGTTTGTGGGCTTCTTGGATCCTTTCAAGGTCTTGCTGGTGAGATGCCTGGAGTCTTTTGTTGAATGGACCCTGAGCCTTCCCTGCCTTTTGGTGTTCACAGTTGCACCCTTGGGTGACCAGGAATGGGGAAGAGCCCCTCCCCTCGGAGGAGGAGCACTGCAGTGTGGTGGAGGTGACTGAGGAGGAGGTGAAGAACTCGGTCAAGCTCATCCCCAGCTGGACCACGGTGGTAAGAGGGTGAGGGGTGAAAGGCGCCCTTGTCCTGGGAGGACCGGAGGAGTGCATGTCCACTGCGTGAGCCTTGCTCTGTGCTTGTCACTTTTGGCCTGGTTAGCCAGCACAGGGCAGGGCCACAGAGCCCACCAGCTTGCTGGAAGCCTGTGGAGAAAGAGGTTGTGTTATTCAGCCTCATGGGAGACCATACCTCCGGGAGGAGAACGAATAAAAGAAGCATACTGAGTGAGGCGTGGTGGTGCAGGCCTGTAATCCCAGCACTCTGGGAGACTGAGGCAGGAGGGTTTCAAGTTTGAGCCCAGCCTGGACAAGTTAGCGATTTAAAGAGACCCTTATTAAAGTCCGGCCGGGGCTTTAGCTCAGTTGTTCTGCCATCTGTTTCACAAGCACAAGGTCCTGAGTTCAATCCCCAATGCCAAAAAAAGAAAAGAAAAGAAAGAAAATAGCTTCCCAAACCTCTGCAGGCCTTGTCTTTGCCACCATTAGCAGCATTCACTGGCTGGAAGAACATTTCTTTCCTTCCAAACATTTATGGAACTGCTGTTCCCAGGAGCTGCACCAGAAGCCGAAGCCATGATAGTGCAAATCGTGGAGGCCTTGGAATTGCAGCAGTGGCTCCAGACACCTCATGTGGCACACACCCCAGCAGCCGCCCTCTGAGGGAGCCAAGCAGCTGGGGCCTGTGTTCCTCATACTCATGTGTGCTCCCCAGATCCTGGTCAAGTCCATGCTGAGAAAGCGTTCCTTTGGGAACCCATTTGAGCCCCAGGCACGGAGGGAAGAACGGTCCATGTCTGTTCCAGGAAACTTACTGATGTAAGTGCCAGCAGGGTACTCCCCGGGGATGGAGTGGGCGACTGAGGCACAGCACACTCGCCTGCGCTATGGCAGAGCCACGCAGGCTGAGCCAGAGGCTGGGACACATCGGCCGCGTTTCATAGGAGGGCCCCATTTGCACCTCTGTCCTCAAGGCTAGTTGGGCCAGAAGACACCTTCCTAGGCCAGGCTGCTCCAGGGTGGGCCTTGATGCCCTCCCTCCACTCTGTCAGGGATGAGGGGCTCACCTGGCCCCTCTGTGGGACAGGATGACCCTTCCTTCTCTTGGCAGCCTGATGTTGTCACACTTCACCACTGGGTCCAGCTCAGGCTTCTGGCTTCAAATCTGCAGCCCCTTCAGCCTCTGGCAGCCTGGAAGAGGTTTGCAGGCAGGCTCAGTCTGCTCTTTGTAGAAGGCCAGCTGGCCCATGGAGGGACAGGCACTTTCCCTGTTCCGGTAGTGGGTGTCAGCTGCTTTCCTGAGCGACCCACGCCACATGCAGCTGGTGCTCTGAGAATACCTGTCCTGGGAGTCAGCGTGGGCAGGCTGGTAGACTGGCCCAGGGGAGAGGAACCCGTTTGCTGTGGATTCCCTACTGTGAGCCACATGTGAGTCTGCCACCTTGTAGAAGAGGCCAGAAAAGCAGCTCCTCAAACCTCCGCAGACCTGGTCCTCGGTTTTGCCACCATGGTCAGCGTCAGCTTTGGAGGCCAGTGTGGCCTGCTGGAGTTTGCATGTAGACCTGGACCAGAATGTGATGCTGGCTGACAGTCACTTCCTCTGGCAGGGGTGGCAGGAGCTGTCTCTCCCCCTTGCTTGGTGGGCAAGGCACGCTCCCGGAGGTAAACTTCCGCCTGTGTCCTTCCAAGTCACACCTACCTACTGTGGGGCTCCCACTCGGGGCAGCAGTTTTCTTGTCTTCAATGATGCACTTGGGGCTGAGCTCATTAAGTCTCAGGCCCTGATGCTGGAATTGTGCTTAGCATAGGGGGATTGTATAGAATTTGACATTCAGATGAGGCCACTTCTGCGAGAAAAAGGGGAAGATATTAATAATTATGCCAGGAGAAGCAAAATCAGGACTGCCCAGCAAACTAGACATTTGGTCTCACCAGCTCAGTGCCGGTGGGCCAGCGCCCCCTACTGGTTAAAGAAACATCTAGTTTGTGCACTGCAGATTGATGATACGGAGATTGGGCTGGATATTTTTCCAGGCATAAAATTCTATAAATTTGGGGCCCAAGTTTAATTTTGAAAACAGATTTGGCCTCATTATCAAGTTCCAGCACTTGACCTTGGTAGACCCTGTTTTTCATACTTTAGGATAATTACATTGTAGAAGAGTTAAATAGGATGATCTTTTCTTGGTTTAAAAAGAGAAGTCTTGGGGGCCAGGGATTTAGCTCAGCAGTTCGGTGGCCTGCCTTGCAAGGGCAAGGACCCGAGTTCAATTCCTTCCAAAAAAAGAGAAAAAGAAAAAAAATAAAAGAGTTCTTGGACAGGGAGATTGGATACAGGAACCCACTGAATATGTCTCCTCTCTCTCTCTCTCTCTCTCTCTCTCTCTCTCTCAGTAAGGGGGATTGAACTTGGGGCTTTATGCTTGCGAGGCAGGCGCCAAAACCACTGAGCTAAATCCCTGGCCCAACCCACTGAATATGTAACAGAACCCCAAGACTGATAGGCGCTCTGCCCTATGATCAAGGCAAAGCACATGCAAAACAAGAGCCTCTCTATCCAGGTCTGCTGGGGGCCGGTCAAGGTCAGTGTGGAAGGTCTTTGACCTGGCTGATACTCCAAGGACAGGGAAGTCAGCCAGGTCAGACTACAAGAGGTCCCAGAAGCCAGACAGAGAAGTTTAGATTTCATCTCAGGGCAGTAGGGAGCCACAGAAGGGTTGCGTGCTGAGGCTGACGCAGGGAGACCACTAGGAAGTGGGATGAAGGCCACACTTAGGCCAGTAAGGGGGGGAGGTATTTCAGAGATTTGGGATACAGATGCCTCTGTGTGTGTGTGCAAGTGAGAGAGAGAGACACAGACAGACAGACAGAGACGGAGAGATTAAATACACACTCTGAACTCTGAGGCCCTTCTGTCCTTGGTGTCATCTGAATAGGAAAGAAGGGTGTGAAGAAGGGGTCAAAAGCCCAGAGCTCCCTGGTGTCCAAGAAGACGAGGCTGCATCCTGATTCCCTGCATGTGTCCAGGGCCACCAGGCAGCACGTTCATCCCATGCCTCCAGAGGCCCACTGCCTTCACGTGACAGCTCCTGCAGGCAGGGGGCTGGAGGCGGAAGCCCCTCTCCTGGCCTCCCTCCCCTCCCGTACTGCATGATCTCTGCGCGGGCACATCCAGGGACCGGATGGGAACGCGTATCATCTGGGGTTGGGGGAGGGCTCCTACGGCACCTTCCTCGTAGTCCTAGTTCTGTGCGGTCTGACTCAGCCCGTGGGGAAGCCAGGGGTCCGGGGAACCTGGCTAGTAGGAATGGCCCAGGGAGGGGGCAAGAGACCAAGGTGGCAGCGGGAGGCCTAGCTCAGCTGCCACAAAAGAAGGGGAGTACTGCCCACCTGGGTGCAGAGGTGCCAGAGCTACTGTGTCTTCAGAATGCTGGTACGGAGGCTCTGACCTCTCCATGTGTGCCTGATCCTCGGGGAGAGACATCCGTGTTGGAGAATGCAGAGTCCATTTTTGCTGTCTTTTACTTTTGATTCTAACCTGAGAAATGGGGAAAACCCTACTTGGGAACATCTAACGAACCTCTCTACAGCGTTGCGGGTATTCCCAGCACATCCACCATTATTCAGCAGCCAGGTGGACCGGCTTGACCATCTGGAAAATGGGCTGCCTTGAATCCTAATGGGAGCACAGGCCTGGGCCTAGAGCAGCACACTTTCCCTGCCCGCTTTTCTCCCTCCTTCATGGCTCTGAAGACCACACCAGGGGTGAGACTGGCCAAGGGCTGTGGACTCAGGATATGGCCTTGAGTGTGCTGAAACAACTGGAATTCAATCTCTGATCCTACACTGGCTTTGCTGTCACATCTGCAATGAAGGAGAAACTGTCTGGCTCAGAGGCCTGGCTGGAAGGGGTATGCAGACTGGCACACAGGCTACCCCAACTGCCTTGCCCCTGGACAGTCACCAGCCAGTCTGCTCAGAGCTGGAGCACTGGGACATGCATGTGGGCAGGACTTTCTGGAGCAGGCTTCTTATCTCTCTGGGATCAGTGAGTGGCTGGCTGGCTTGATGCTTACTGACCAAATGCTCACCGAGGTGGACCCTCCAAAGGGAAGTACATGGGGCTCGTGCTGCTCCTGAACACATGGGCCACAAGGGCTGCATAGCACAGGAGGGCTTGTCCGGTGGAGAGGAGCTCAGTGGGAGGAGGCCCGTGTCCTGCTGCATTTCTGTGCTTGTGGGTGTACGTTGCGCCTCCACACACACGCATGTGCGTGCCCATCTGCTGCACACAGCACACTTGCATGTCTTGCACTGGTACATGCATCTGTAACATAGTTTCTATGTCTATTTAAGGCTAGGAGCGGAATGTGGCCCGTTGTCAATGGGCCCACACTTCTCCCCAGCTTCTCTGCATTAAGGCAGTCTGTGACCCAGGGCTTAAACAACAGTTCACTACTATCTTTAAGAACACTTTTATAGAGTTAAAGGGATACAAGTTAAAAGCCAATCACACTGGTCGGCAGGTTTTCCTGAGCATTTCCATGTAGGTGCCAGGGCTTTTGGGGGGCCTCATGGATTGGAGCCAGCCTTGAAAAAAGCTCAGAGGTGGATAGCTCTGCTTCACTGCCTGTAACAGAGACTGGATGGAGTGTCCACTTCACTACTGAGGGTGTTGGTTGGCATCATTGTTTCTGAATGTAGCAGAAATGACAAACTCCATAAGAGTGTTTTAAAAATTAACTTCCCAGGAAGTGAGTTAAATAAAAGCCCTTTCTTGAGTTTAAAAAAAAAAAAAAAAAAGGCTTTATGTGTACATTTTCTCTATCTGGATATGTGCTCTTATTAGCTGGACCAGCTGGTTTGGCTTGCTTTTCTAGAAGGGTTTGAGGCAATCATAAGTCCCTGGGCAGGGCAGTAGCGAGAGAGGTGCTTGGGGAGGTGAAAAAGAGGGAACCTTGGGGGCTCCTGGGTAGATCTGACAGCCCTTCCTTGGGAAGGACTGAGTGCTTGGGAGCAGGTGGGCTGCACACACAGGGCACAGGAAGGCTGAGGTCTGGTGTAGGTGTGGCCTGGGCTCAGTACCTGCCCTGCCCCTCCCCTTGACACTGGTATTCCACCCATAGAAGACCCGGCCAGGGCAATGATGGAAAAGTCACCACTGGGGTCAGACAGCCTTGTACTTGAATTCAAGCTTTGCTAAATAAGGACCATGGCACCTTTGGTGAGTAACTGGAGGAAACTCAATTTCCTTGCTAGTATAACGAATAAATATGAGCACCTTCTTCGTGGGGCTCTGTGACAATATATGAAGTCACTTTGTCAAGCACGAGGCTTGACTGACACATAGTAAGCAGCCAGCAAATGAGGCTTTTAGAAGGAAATCATGGAGGTCCTGGGTTCAACATACTCTGCATGATGGTATTTGCCTAGCTGTGAGTTTCCAGCTGGATGAAGCTGGAGACCAACCAGAGGACCTGGCACTGAAGACCAGGAAGGAGACAAGGCTAGAGGCTGCCCAGGTTTTCTACCTGAGAAACAGAGACCCGGTTGCCCCCTGCTGGCATCCTGGTTGTCCTGTGAAGCACCAGGACCTTTCAGGAGGGATGCTGACCACCTGGCAGAAGTTCCCCAAAGACCAGACCAATAAATGGGTCTTGTTCTCACTTCCTTCCTGCCCCTGCAGCCTTTCAATATCAGCCCCACCTGTATCCCACCTCCTCACTGGTCTCCAGCCATTACCTTCACCAGCACCAGAGTGATCTGTCTGAGCACACCTGGCCAGGCCCCAGTAACTAAGCATCCTTTCAGCCTGGTGTTCAAGGCCTGGGTGCTCTTCTGATTGGGGCTCCACCTGTCACCTCTGCCCACTCCTCTCTCACTGCAGTTTAGGCCCTCCCATGTCTCCAGGGCACTGGCATCCCACCCTACCCCCTGCCTCTGCTCAGCAAAGGCAGCCCTACCCTTCAAGGCCTGTTGGGCAGTGAGAGCCTTGAAAAGGACCACAGCTGCCTGGTGTTATTTTCCCATGAAGACCACCCCTCTAGGAGTCACAGAGAAACGGAGGCCCAGAGTCACAGCACATCTAAGATGAGCTGGACTAGAGCTCACATCTGTGACCCCCACCCCATCTATACCAGCTGCCAGGGAAACTGGGAGCCTCACCTGGAAGGACATCTGGGAAAATCAGAGATGGAGTCCACTCCTTCCAATGTCACCATGCAAAGGAGCTAAGCCTGGGGACAAAAGGTCCATCCGAAGGCATGGGAGGCAGTGCCCCAGGTGGATCTGGTGTCTCAGGATACCTTTGGGCTCCAGATCCCACAGGTCCTTTACTTGGGCTCTGTTCCCCCAACCCATCAGCCTATACTGTGGTCTCAGCTGAGAGTGGAAGGAAGGGTGCTCAGAGCCACTGAGGGTTCCAACTTTTCCAGGGGTCCCATACAGGACCCATAGAAATGCCCCTCAGGTTCCAGGGTCACCTTACCACACTTGGGCAGACTTGCACTGCCTTCCCTCAGGCAAACGAGCAGACCTGTCCACCAGGATGGCCCTCTGAGAAGCCGTGTGCTGGGGAGCCAGGAGGATCCAGAGAGGAGCCTGTCCTCTGCTTTACTGCACAGCAAATCCCTGCCTGTGAGGACTCCCTGCTCCACTCCGGCCTCCTACTGGACTGGCCCTGGGGCATCCATACCCTTCAGTTGCAGGCTTTAATGAGCATCCCTTTACCCGCCACACACGCACATACCCAATGCTGCCTGGGGCTCAGCTGTGTCCATCTCCCCAGAAGCTAGGATGACCTCAGAGAACGATGAGGCCAGGGTCCTCTCACTCTGCAGACGACAGCACCCAAGCTGTGCTTACCAATTTGTCATGATCCCGTCCCAGCTCCGTGGTCAGCCTCCTTGCCCTCCCCACCATGGAGCTTCCTTTGGACCCCGACTCACTCCTCTAGGAAGCCTTCCTCGGTTCACAGCCCCAGAGGCACCCTTGGCCTAATGTCCTGGCCCATCTCCCACAGCTTTGCCCACTAGCTTTGATGACTTACAACTGCCCACTTACTGGGCCATCACACTGAAGACCATTTAGGGACCAAGCATCTCAGGTGAAGCACAAATAAGGTCTTCTCTCTGGGTCCCTGTTCTGGTCCCCTGGTCCCCAGTAGGTCCCTTCTCTGGCCTGTTTACCCCTGGCCTTGTCTTGTCCTTTGTGTCTTGCTCTTCAGCCTACATAGCTGCACAGGCCTTTGTGGTAGTGGCCCTGGTTGTTTTGAAAGTAGCTGCCCCACCCTTGGCACAGTGTTCTGGCTCACATGACCTTTGCATGGGCTCATGGTGTTCCATCCCCAACAGGACTGGTCACTGGTTGTCCTAGCCATGGTCCATGCAGTTACTGATGTTCTCTGCCCTTTGACCCCAGCCCCGTACCCTTTGGTGTCCCCAGGACACACCCCTTCACCTGCACACTCATACACCCACACTCAGAAACTGCCTGGGTCTACCCCGAAGGGATGGAACTAGGTCAAGACAGTAGGGCACTTGGTTCCACCTTTCCTCCATTGGCTTCACCCAGAGTCCAGAGCGGCCAGTGCCCGAGGAGCCTGAGCCTTTACAGAGAAGATTCCCCTTGCTCTTGGGTCTCTCCTTTCTCCTTCAAGGCCCTTTGTGCCAGTATCTTCCTGCCTCCCTGGGAACCCCAACCCTATGCTGAGAAAGGGCGCCCTCTGTGGTCTGCCTGGCTCCCTCCCCATCCCCATTCCATCAGAAGCAGATTCCCGAAATCTCCAGGTTTTGTTTTGTTTTGTTTTGTTTTGTTTTGTTTTGTTTTGTTTTTGTACTGGGGATTAAACTCAGGATCTTGCACTTGCAAGGCAGGTGGCAGAGCCACTGAACTAAATCCCCAGTACTCCTCCAGAGCTTTTAAAAAATCTCGAGGCCAACCTTCCTCCACTCCTGACTGATCCAAAAAATGGTGTGAGATGTAGTTTAGGTATCAGAATTTTTTTGGTACCGGGGATTGAACTTGGGTCTTTGCGCTTGCAAGGCAGGCCACCGAACCGCTGAGCTAAATCCTCGGCCCAGAATTTTTTTTTTAATCAATAAACTTATTGTCTTTTGAAGATGACTTAGGTTTACAGAAAAATTAAGCAGAAAATACAGATAATTCCTCTATAGCTCCTCAACCTCTTGCCTCCTGCCCCCAGGTTCTCCTATTACTGTTTTGCCTGGTGTGCTACATTTGTTGCAGTTGATGAACCAGGCTCATACATTATAATTAACTAAAATCCACAGCTTACTTTAGGGCTCCCTCTTTGTGCTTATATTTTATGCATTTAGACAAATGTATAAGGACATGTATCCACCACTAAAATATCAAACAGCATAGCTTTGCTGCCTAAAAATCCTATTTTCCACCTATGCACCTCTTCCTGCTCCTCCCAACAACCACTGATCCTTTTCTTAGATTTGTCTTTTCCACTATAGTTGGAATCATACAGTATGCATCCTTTCCACTCCCAGCTAATTTTAATGAACAGTAAGACCCGACATGAATAGCTCTGGTGTAAGATTTGGTAAAGAGGAGTGGTAGATCTGGTGCTCTAGGTTCCTAAATCTAGTGTGAGTAGAGGTCTCATTTCCTTTTGTTATATCCATCTACCCACCCACCCATCCACACACCCATGCACGCATCTTTCGATCCATCATTTAAATGTTTGTCCAGGGCCTTCTGTAACCAGGCACTGTGTTAGAGAACTCAAACAACACAGTTCTTGCTCTCAAGAGTCTTACAGTCCATTGTAGGAGACAGGCACTGGTCAAGTTACCAGGCATAGATGATTTTGAACATACACCGATGCACTATAGGAAAGGCTCGTGGTGAGCAGCTGAGAGAAGCTGGGGAGGTTTCCCAGAGAAGTCTCTGGTTTAGATCTGAAGTTGAGGAAGATCTTATTACGCCATCAGTGATGGAGGTAGGGGTAGAAAGCTCCAGAGAGACTGCCACAAAGGCCTTGTGGCAGGAGGAATCACAAAGCTTGCCAAGAGCTGAAGTGACGATGTTAGGAATGAGAAGAGAATAGTGCAAGATGAGGTGGAGGGTAGATAAGAGCTTGATAATGTGTGCTACATAGATCACTCTGGTTACAGTGAAGAAGAGGGCTGGGAATGGAAGAGCCAGAAAAACAGAGAGACCCATTAGCAGACTACTGTAGTAGCCAGACAAGAGATGATATGATGGTGGCCAAGGTGGAAGGAAGTTGAGGGGTAGCTGAGAGGATGGAAAGAAGCAGATGGACACGAGGCATATGCAGGACGCCAGACTGACACAACTATGCGTGACCTGGCTGTGGGGGCAGGAGAGGAAGGGATCAAGGGTGGCTCTCGGCTCCAGCCTGCCCACTGGGCTATCAGGGAAGCAGGAAACAGGAAATGGACCCCGAAGAATGAGGCTGAGGTGACTTGAAACCTTCAGGGGGAGCTATCCATAGGCAGCAGGACAGGTGGGTCTGGTGCTCAGAGGAAAGAGAACAGGAAATGGAAGCTTGGGGGTCCTCAGGGCGTTGATGGCAGTGGAGTGGGAAGCCATGGGTGCGCTGAGATAGGTTAGGGAGTGAGCATGGGGTGAGCACCGAAGACTGTCACTGCTGGGGGACGACAGAACTTGTAAAAGCACCCGGGCAGGAGTGGGCAGGAGGTCAAAGGAGAATTGAGTGTGGCGTTATTACAGAAGGACGTGCATGGCTTCCAGAACTGTGAGTGGCTACCGGTGTCCATGCTGCAGAGCAGTCAGGGGAGGTGGTGGGGAGAGGAACTGAGGGAAGAGGCCTTGTGAGAATTTAGCTTCAGTATGTGTCCACGGGCCTCTTGGCCTTGTGGCCCCATGGCCTTCTTTTTAACTACTGATCTGTTTGTGTCCCAAGGACAGACAGGAACTATACAGCATCTGGTGAGGGGGCTTTGTGTGCCTGATTTCAAACTGTGTTACAGAACATCTCTGTTTTATGGAGTGGGGAGGGGAAGGGAAAGTAAAAAGAATTAAGATGTGTTACGTACACGTACCATCTCTCCATGATGAATTTATATAATCATTACATACTGTAAACATGTACTGATAAAAATAAAAATTGAAAAATGAAAAAAAAAAGGAATATCTCTATTTTAATCAGCAGGGCATCACCTCAGGCCAGTGGACAATGTTACTAACCCTTACGCAGCATCTGATCTCACCTTAGAAGCATATATTACCTTCTGCTGGCTCTGCCTTTTGTTACCCCGGGGGACAAGGGCTTCTATTATTTTTATTATCATATATATGTATTTATATTATATTACATATAACATATTATAATATATATAATATAGGATATATAATATATAATAGATATTATATATATTTATT